TTTTTTTTTTTTTTTTTTTCGAGAAAATGAAAAGATCTTTATTTACTTACTAATTCAGTACAGGAATGGTCTCGGACAACAAAATAAAATTGATCAACAGGTTCATGAAGAACAAATTCTTGTTGTTGCACGAATTGATCCACTCCTCGCACCAAGGAATCGGGTACTTGTAGCGCGTCACCTCCAGGAAGGATCTCAGGGCCCATCGCCGGCAAAATCCCCGCGTGATCGTCTCGCTCAGGTGCAGGACGTACGCGCGCCGCGACGCGGCGGGAAATTCAAAGTCCGACTCGACGAATCTCGTGTAGTCGGCGTGCGTCAGTCGTTGCTCCGCCTCCTCGGGCCGCAGCTGCATCAGATCGTAGAGCGACAGGTCCGCGTTGATCATGTGCTCTCTCGCCTCCTGCGCAAATTTCTCGTACTCGGGGCCGCTTCTAACGATCGGTACATCCTGGAACACTTCGTAGTCGGCCAACGTCTTGATGATGATGAAGGCGCCGCTGGAGTTCAGCTCGTATCCTTTCTTTTCGAGCTGCTCGACGATGGCCATCGCGTCCGACGCGATCTTTATCGGCAATTTGTGAAAGAGTCCGTGGCCGATCTCCGGCTGCAGATACGGATGCTCGAAGTAGTCCTCGGTGGGAAAGTCGAGGCCGGTCAGATCGGCGCCGCGATCCAGCAGCACGCCGACGGATCTCGCCAAGAGATTCCTCAGGGCCCAGTCGAGAGGCGTCCTACCCAAATTGTCCCTCGTGTTGACCTGCAGCTTCAGATTATTGTCGTCGCATACCTCGAAGAATCTCTCCATGAAGTCGTCGTCGCAGCCGATCTTGGCGAGAAAGTGAAGCGGAGTCGCTCCCTCGTCGTCGGCGCAGTTCGGATCCGCCCCGTGCCGCAGCAGCAGCGCCACGTCCTTCTCGCACTCCTGCTTCAGGGCGTAGTGCAGCGGCGTACGACCCAATCGGTCTCGGGCGTTCACGTCGATCGGCCGTTTTCTCTCTAGGCCGGCCTCGTACAGGATCACCGCCAGATCGCTGCAGCAAAAGTCCGAGTCGCAAACGGCGTGCAGCGGTGTCATACCGTCTCTTGGGTCGGGTAGGCTCGGGTCGGCGCCCGCTCTCAGCAGCACCTCGGTCATCTCCTCCGAGCGGTTGCGCAGAGCCACGTGTAAAGGTGGCTCGATCATCGAGCCCGGAAAATTGGGATTCTGGCCGAACACGAGGAATTGCGCGACCTTGCCCACCAAGTCGAAGCCGCAGGCCACGTGGAAGTGCGTCAGGCCGTCCTCGTCGACGTAATTCGCGTCGTATCTCCTGTATATGTCGAACAGACTACGAGCGAGGTCTGCACTGCATTCGAGTCGGGACGCTTCGTGCAGTGCCGTGGTGCGACGCAGTATCGGCTTTTTGTCCTCATTCAGTTCGGGCCTGTCCTTGTAGCCGCTGCGAATCACGAACTCGATGAGGGAATATTTTTTCTCGGCTTCGGACCTATTTTTTTTTAGGTCTTCCGTGAGAAGCCAGTCGATCTCTTCCGGGCGAAAAATGTCCCTGAGATCGGGAAGATGATCGTCGTCCCAATTTTCGATCAAAGGATAGAGTCGATGGAAAAATCGTCGTCGCTCCTCTTCGTTCTCCCAATCGACCTCCGCTCGCATGATCTGCAGTTTCTCCGATGGACTGGCCGATGGATCGTCGCAGCCGCAGTCGTGGACGTCTTCGCGGATGCCATCGGGATCCGATTGGGACATTCTCACTTCGATGCGTTGTCTTGTAAAGCTGAATAAAAATGTTCGACTTTTATCACGAAGCTACCGATTTTTCGTGATTTACGCTCGGGTGTCGTAACGCGTGTATACTGAACGGAGCGACGATTCGACGTGTGCTCGAGTTTTGGTCATGCCGCGGCCCGTGTGGCACACTTATTGTTATACGTAAACATAAGCGACGTACGTACACAAATAGTAAAGGAAATGTTATATTTTGGAATAACTTGACAGACGTACGGTTATATTATGCTGAATATAAAAAAATTGTTTTCGACTTTAATTTGACATTTCACGAGCCATGATCATTTTTTGACTTTGTCCTTTCACATGTGTTTGCTTTGATTTGCTAAAAATTTTAAATGACATAAAATTTCCATTGTTTTGGTCTATAAAATTAAGTACAATCCTAGCTGCGACCTATGGCTGATAAGCCATAAATGATAAATCGTCATTCATTATCTTCGGTAATTTAAGAACTATTTAATATCACGTAAATACGCCCAAATCACGTCAATTAGTTTGTCTAAAAAATGAATGAAAAATCCTTCGTTAAAGAAAGACTGACAATAAAAATGACAACATCAAATAACCATCCGCTGGACTGCTATACATAGATTCTTGCGCCAATTTTTATGGATAGTGCGCGATAAGGGACAAAATAATAACGAATTTATTTATTTATGGTTATTTTTATATCTTATAAAATTTGGTATAAACGAATAAAAAAAAATAAACAAAGCTTATAATTTACTTAATGCATACGCATGAATACGCATCTTACGTTCAAATTTCACGACGCACTCTTTATTCACGATGATTTCAACAAAATATTTATTATACAACATAAATATTTTCCTCGCTGTTTATTTTAAGTAACAACAACAAAAAAAACACGATTTATACAGATTTTATGCGTCGCACTTGTTTATCTCTCTTTGTTTTAAATTGTTTTATAAAATAAATATTATAGTTAAAAAAATATTATAATTGTTTTTATAAAATAAAAAACATCAACCGCACTCAACAAAATTGGACATCAAAAAATACTAGAACTATAAAAAAATAACTAAAACTACACTTGCTTCTCGTTCCATTTACATTGGCCCGTGGCCACCAGACAAACGTTAAACAAATCTCTGTTCTTCATCCTCTCGACGATCATCTCGCAGCAGAGAATCGGCAGTCGATATCGCGTCAGAGTTAAAAAAAATTCCAGCCCCCACCGACGGAAAAATCGCCTCGACATTATCTCGAACAGGTGGGCGGCGTAGGTGTCGCGCAACTGCTTGCGATGCTTCCAGAATTCCGGCGAGTTCTCGAATCGGCGGTAGTCCCGCGCTGTGAGCAGTTTCGCCGCCACCTCGGGCCTCCACAGCAACGAGTCGTGCAGCGTCAGCCGAGGACTTATCCTCCATCTCTTCGCTCTTCTACGAAAGTCTGCGTCTCGGCGCAGCGAGTCGTCGAGATCCACCACCGGGTCGATCAGCAATTCGAGCTTCGAGAACAGCTTCATGATGGTCGAGGCGCCGTCGCGGTCCAGCTCGTAACCTCTTGTCTCCAGACTCTCGAGGATGTCCAGTGCGGTGCACGCGAGCTGCAGCTTGTGCGGATGCCACAGGAACGATCGGATGTAATCGTCGTAGAGAGCCTCGTCGGGATAGACGAAGCCGGAGAGATCGGCGCCACGATCCAAGAATCTCTCGACGGCGTTGGGCATGAATCTCGCCACGGCCCATTGCAGAGGTGTCCGGCCCAACTTGTCCCGAGCGTCGATCCGTAACCGCTGCCGCTGATTCGCGTCGTTCGTATCGAAGAACGTCTCGAGGAAGTCGTCGTCGTCGCTGCCGCTCCGGCAAATAACGTGCAGAGCCGTCAATCCGTCTCTGTTACCTAGATTAGGATCGGCGCCGTGTCTCAGCAGCAACGCGACCATCTTCTCGTGCTTGTGCTTCAAAGCCAAGTGCAGCGGTGGATCGACCGAGCTCGATTCTTGCGTCAAACAATTAGGATCCTGTCCGAGCTCGAGAAATTTCTCGACGACGGGCAACAAGTTCAACTCGCAGGCCACGTGGAAGTGCGTGAGGCCGTCCAGCTCGTCCACGTAATTCACGTCGAATCTGTCGTAAATATCGAACAAAGCAGCCACGATGAATCGATTGACGGGACCCTTTCTGCCCGCGTAGTGCAGCGCCGTGGCGCGACGACGCAACGCCGCCGCCGCTTTCCCGCCGTTCTCGTTTGGATCGGGCTCGTCCTTGTAGCCGCTTCTAACCGCGAAATTGACGAACGGCAATTTGCCGTAAAACTGATAGGGCTCGGCATCGTTCCTCGCGTCCTCCGTGAGCAGCCAGTCGATCTCTTCGCGCCGAAAGACGTCGCGTAGATCCGGCAGTCGCTCGTTCCAGTGGATGATCGCGTGGTACAGCTGATTGAGCAGTTTGCGTCGCTCCTCCTCGACCTCCCAGTCGATCTTCTCTCGTAGGCTACGCAATTCTTCCAATTTATCTTGGCGCGTCTTGGCATCGTAGCAGTGGCACTGGTCGTTTTTGTAGAAGGAAAATGGGTAATCAGTACCGTCGCTTGAGGAATCGTCGTGGTCGGATTGCGTCTTATCGACGTCTTCGTCGTCGGACATCGTCGAGCACAATGCGGTATACGCTACGAAACACTGGCTTGTATACTTGGTAAAGTTAATATTTTTCACCGGAAACACTTGCTGCAGTCGATGCGACCTTCTCTTGTTGTTTATACGTATATAGCTACCGAAGTGAACGACTCGACTTACGGCGGGACACTGCCGCGTGCTACGGCGAGCCAACTTAACTGTCGACTGCGTGCGCGCGAGTTGCGACTTAGTCTCGGCGCCCGCCGCGCTGCCACATTCTCGATTCAAGCCTCGCGCCCAGTTAAATGCAATAATATAAACGAATAGCATACAAACCAGGAAATGCCCGTTTTGATATTTTACAGAGATATTTGTATTGTAATACGATTTTATAAAAAGAACTTTATGTTTTGCTTTCGTTTGTACATACATGTAATGTAGCTGTCTTGATGTCGTAGGCGATAAATAAGATTTTCGTTATTTAATGTAAGTGTTAGATTTAATCTATGCTTTACATAATAATCCAATGTGAATTAAATTTTGTACCCACCATTATAAGTCAATATATGTACTTAGAATGGTATATCAAGCAGGCAAATTTTCGGTGTGACTGAAAAGGCGTTTCATGCGCGTCCGAGAATAACGTAAATAATTACTTGAATATTAAGGAATTCTCCGAACGGTAAAGAACCCCGAAAACTATGCGCGCGGCAGAATAAACGTGTGTCTCATCTTGCTAGTGCGAAAATGTGCCGTCAATTTTTCATTTTTATTTTTTTTTGACACTTACATCGTTATGAATATCGATATCACCGAATTAAGAAATAGGAACTACTGGGCACGTGCAAGCGTATACTTTCAAACCGAAAAAAAATCATTTTCTTTCTAGTTTTACTTTAATAACTTTAAATAAAACCGAGTAGTGGGTGTTAGACTTCTCTTACTCTCTTTATTCAAATCAAATGCTTTTTTCGTCGAGTGCGTGAATTAAAATATAATTTGTCTGTGGTTTTGCTTTTGTGCATAAGCGAGCTTTGTAAAATAGTTATTTCATTGGTCACTGAATATTTGCATCTTTTTGCAGCTGTTTAGAAATTATTATATCATATAATACTCGTAGACTAACTATTGCTAGTATGACAGATGACGTTTTTCTATCGCGAGGAAAGAGTTATTTGTGAGGAAAAATAAAAGGACTTGTCTTTACAAATAATTGATTTATTAATTTTTCAAAAAAAAAAGTAAAACGTCCGTTGCATATTAAAACATCAGATCTATTTAAAAAAAAAAAAAAAAATTATTTATCAATATGCTTGCATTTTATTGCATTAATTTTGGCAACTGATGTAACGGACACAAAAATCTTTAATTTTAATCAAGTTCATCTCTTATTTCGATGGCCTGCAGACAAACGTAATACAAATCCTTGTTCGCCAACGGATCGATGAAATTCTCACACCAAGAAATCGGGAACTTGTTGCGCGTCATCTCCATGAAAGATTGCAGGGCCCATCGCCGACAAAATCCTCTCGTCATCAACTCCATCAGGCGCGTAAGACAGATACGGCGATCGGGAAAACGCGACCATTCCGTCGAGTCCGCGAGCTTCGAGTAGTCCGCGTACGTGAGCAGTTTTTGCGCCTCCTCTGGTTTTAATTGAACCAAATCGTAAAGTGAGAGGGTTGGAATCACCATCAAAGTTTTCGCGTCGCGAACGAACTCCTCTTTGTTGAAGCTAATTCTGGCAAGACCATGACTGTCGAAATAGTCACAGTCGAATATTTTGTATTTACTGAATGTATGCATGATTGTCAAGGCATCGGTGCGGTTCAGTTTGTATCCTCTTTTTTCGAGGTGCTCAACAATGACCAGAGCGTTTGACGCTAGTTTTAAATAAATATGTAGTACAATTTCACAGTCAGGATTGTTAAATCTAACGGCAAAGTAATCCTCGGTGGGAAAAACAAAACTAGATAAATCAGCGCCACGATTCAAGAGAAATTCAACCATATCTGGCATGAGATTCGCCACGGCCCATTGCAGTGGGGTCCGGCCTAACTTGTCCATGACGTTGATCTGAACCAGCTGATTTACTTCGTCGTTGATCTCGAAAAATATATTGAACATATCAATGTTCAAAGAACACTTCTTGCAAATAACGTGCAAAGGAGTCAATCCATCGGTGTCGGCCACGTTCGAATTAGCGCCTCTTCTTAGCAGACATTTGACCTTTTCCGTATTCCATACTTTGTCCGCAGCTAAGTGCAGTGGCGTCCGACCATTCTTGTCGATGGCATCGATCTGTACCGTGCGATGTTTTTCATCGCTGATCTTAAATAGCATCTTCATTGAGTCAACGCCATGACTATCCTCACACAATGCATGCAGAGGAGTCAATCCGTCCTTGTTGGTCAAATTAGGATCAGCGCCACTTTTCAGCATCAATTCGAACAACTTCTTGTAGACGCTATTTTTCAGAGCCAAATGTAGGGGCGAATCACCTGTTTCTGTCCAGGTGACATTGGGATCTTGCCCCAGTACGAGGAATTGAGCGACCTTGTCCAAATAGTTAAACTTACAGGCCGCGTGAAAATGCGTTAATCCAAATTCGTCGATGTAGTTCACATCGAATCTGTCGTAAATTTCGAACAGATCATGGATGAGGTAGAAGTAATTGAGCCTAGCCGCATGATGCACTGCAGTGGTGCGACGCAATATTGGCTCGCCGTCCTCGTTTAGTTCGGGCCTGTCCTTGTAGCCGCTGCGAGCCACGAGCTTGATGAGTAAACCTGCGTTCTCGTCATTATTTACGTCTTCGATGAGAAGCCAATCGATCTCTTCTGGGCGAAAAATGTTCCAGATATCAAGAAAATCTAAATCCTTCTTATCTTTGACTGAACGATATAGTCGACGAAAAAATTGTTGTCGCTCTTTTTCATTTTCCCAATTGACTTTTTCTCGCACTGTATTTAGTTTCAGAAAATCCCTGAAAGAATCTCCTTCAAACGCAAAGTCCAAGTCGTCGTCGCTCTCGTCTCTCTCATTGCTCAAGTCCGAGTGATGTTTAATGTCATTAACCATTATGGGTCAACTCACTTAAAACGCGGTTTACGTATAATTAAAAGTTGTAGAACCGATCGTTTTTTCACTAATCACGAGAATTTCACTGGCCACACAGTCGAAACGATCTTTCTTTGTTTCTCACGCTGCGGCGTCGTAACGTACACTGAACTGAACGACTCGACATGCGACGCAGCACTGTGTGCTGTTGCGGCAACTGTGGGCTGCCAGCGTCTACCTCGCCGGCCGCATACTCTAGAGTCGAGTCGAGACGAGTTGCGACTTGCGTCGCGCGGCCAAGGCAGTAATGTAAACATATCATATTGCACAAAGGCGATGTATCATTTTTGAAACGCACGCAGTCGCGCAACGTTCGATATTATTTTGTTGCCGAATATTTTCTGTGCTGGATAAAATCACAGAGTTTTTTGCCTGTGATGTATGTATAAGTAACGGGTCGTTTTCACTACTGGTGACTTTCATGATTTTCTGAAAAAAAATAGGCATTGCAGGTTATACTGGGTGTATTAAGTAAATGAGAGACCTTTTTTGTTTTTCTCCAAGCAAATCAGTAAAGTTACCCGCAATGACGGCTGTGAATCACTTCAAAAAGGCCTAAAAAGTACACTGCTTAGAGCGTCAAATTTTTTCTCGATTATAATCTCATATACTCCGTGAGTCCATAAATAATGATGAATTCGAATGTTATATTTGGCATGTATAGACTAAAAATCCTTCATAGTGTCCTACTATTATATAGATCAAGAAGCTCAAATTTCAAGTCAATAATTTTTAGCTTACGTTTATATAGGTGTATTCATCTTGTCGGTATCTCCAATGTTAAAAACCGTCTAAAATATTCCGTTATCTGTTCTCAGTGTAAAGAAATAAATCGAGCTGAATCCTATCTTAGTTCTTTAATTAAATCTTCGCTCATTAGCTCGATGTCGAACATAATTTTTCAGCAGAGCATCGGAAGCTCGTGACTCATCAATGATCCGACAGAATTCAGAGTTTACTACCGGAAAAATTGTCTCGCTATTATCTCGGGCGCAAATAAAAGCAAAACATGGCTCTCTAAAAGAGTAGAAAACTTCCTATAGGCATCGAACGTAATATGCAAGCCGAGTAGACTTTGTTGCTTTGGGAATCGAGCTTAATTAGTAAAACTTATAATGCAATGTTTATAGCTGCTGTTATGCGGAGAAAAGGAGAGTAAAGTCGAGCTCTTTATCTAATAGAGTCTCGTGTAAATGTTACACACCATACATTTACTCTGCTTCTTAAGAGGAGTACATTTTCCAGAAAAAAAAACACTGTGAAGTGAACGACTCGAGAATCGACATGCGGCGCGGCACATACAGAGTGTGGAACTGCCGACTGTGCGCGCGAGTTGAGACTTCGTGAATCGTGACGCCCGCCGCGCTGGCACATAGATACATCGCTAGAGCGTTAATTTTTTTTTCTCAATTTCAAGTTTACTTTTCGTGAGCCATGATAAAATGAACTTTAATTTTATACTCGGTACGAAATTGACCAAAAATTCTTAGTGGTACAAATGTATTGCCAGAGTTTAAAGTAGCGTTCGGCTCGATGTGTTGTGGGTGTTGAATACGTACCATTTAATATTTTTTGTTGTCCGGTGAAAGGGTCAGCATCGCCCGCCAAAACATTTATATGTATTAAAATTTTTGTTCATCAGCTTCGTACATACTTACCGAATTGATTATCAAGGAGTTTCCCGAACGACAAAATTCTCATCTTACTAGTGTGAAAACATACTGTTATAGTTTTTACCTTTCTTTGACATTTATAACGTCATGAATGCTAAGTCACAGGTAAAAGTTCGTTTTTGATGCGCGATAGCAACGAGTTGCTAAATAGAAATAGGCTATATGAGAATAATAGGTGTAAATGAATAAAAAAAGAAGAGAGGAACAACTTCGTACGCGCGAGGTTTATACTTTTCATAAAAAAAAAAAAAACAATACAAATCTTTTTCTCTCTTTGTTTAGATCAAAATAATTTTGTTCGTCGAGTGCGTGAGTTTAAATATAGTTTGTCTGTAATTTTGCTTCATTGCGCGATCGAATTTTGGAAAAAATACGAGATTTTTCAAGGAACGGGTTATTTGTAAAAAACAATGAAGACTTAATTTTTAAAATTGTTTATTTATTAATTTTTCAAAGAAATTAAAACATCAACTGCACATAAAAACACCAGTCGGTAACGAAAATCACATAGTCTATTTTTAGTTTTTATCACTGGCATTGTAGCAAATCAAAAACAAATCCTTATTTATCAGTGGATCGATCAATTTCTCACACAGAGAAATCGGCAGCTTGTGGCACGTCAGCTCCAAGAGAAATTCCCGGGCCCATCGCCGGCAAAATCCTCTCGTGATCATCTCGGACAGGTGCGGAATATATACCTCCATTTTTTGATAAGGACCTTGCCATTTTGCCTCCATGTAATTGTCGTAGGTGAGTTGTTTTTCCACCTCTTCCGGTTGCATATGAATCAAATCGTAAAGCGACACGGTCGAATTCACCATCAAATTTTTCCCCTCACTCGTGAACCACTCGTCTTCGAAGCAGCGTTCGTCAAGATTTGCGAATTTATCAAACAATCCGTACGAATCGAATTGACCCAGTATTGTCAAAGCGTCGGCCCGCTTCAATTCGTAGCCTCTTTTTTCGAGGTGTTCAACGACAGCCAGCACTTGAAGCGCAAATCCTAAAAGACTTGAATACATATATCGATAAGGAAGATCGACGAATCCTACGGCGAAGTAATCGTCGGTGGGAAAGACAAAGCTCGACAGATCGGCACCACGCTCCAAGAGTGTAACGATTGTTTTTATCAAGAGATTCGAAACTGCCCATTGAAGCGGTGTTCGGCCCAATGCGTCCAGCACGTTGACTTGCACTGACTGATGAAGTTCGTCGTTGATCTTGAAAAATAGCTCAGTCCATTCATGGTCGTAACGATACTTGCAAAGAATGTGCAGAGGTGTTGATCCGTCCTTACTAGCGACATTTGGATCGGCCCCTCTTCTTAGCAGCCATTCGACCATGTCCGTTTGCCATTCGTGCAAAGCTAAGTGCAGTGGTGTCTGGCCCTTCCTGTCGACGGCATCGATCTGTACCGTGCGATGTTTTTCGTCACTGATCTTAAATAGCATCTTCGCCAAGTCAATGTCATAACCAATCTCACACATAGCATGCAGAAGAGTCAATCCGTCCTTGTTAGGCAAATTCGGGTCGGCTCCACTTTTCAGCAGCAGTTCGACCACTTTATTGTATCCGCCAGCCACGACTAAATGTAGCGGCGAATCACCAGTTTTTGTCCAGATGCAATCGGGATCCTGTCCAAGTACGAGGAATTGCGCGACCACACCGTCACGTTCGAATTTGCAGGCCGCGTGAAAGTGAGTGTATCCATCTTCGTCGGCGTAGTTGACGTCGAATCTATTGTATATTTTGAATAGATCATCCACGATGGCGATATATGAGATACCTTGTCTAGCTGCCCAGTGCACTGCGGTGGTGCGACGCAATATTGGCTCGCCGTCTTCATCGACTTCGGGTACGTCCTTGTAATAGCTGCGAGCCACGAGCTTGATGAGTAAACCTCCGTACCTGTCATTATTTAAGTCTTCTATGAGAAGCCAATCGATCTCTTCTGGACGAAAAATGTCCCGAAAATCATAAACTTTTAAATCCTTCTTATTTTTGACTGAACGATGTAGTCGACGAAAAAATTGTTGTCGCTCTTTTTCATTTTCCCAATTGACTTTTTCTCGCATTGTCTTTAGTATCTTAAAATCACTGAAAGGATTTCCTTCAAACGCAAAGTCCAAGTCGTCGTCACTTTTGTCTCTTTCATCGCTCAAGTCCGAGTGATAATTAATGTCATTAACCATTATGGGTCAACTCACTTAAAACACGGTTTACGTATAATTAAAAGTTGTAGAACTGATCGTTTTTTCACTAATCACGAGAATTTCACTGACCACACAGTCGAAACGATCTTTCTTTGTTTCTCACGCTGCGGCGTCGTAACGTACACTGAACTGAACGACTCGACATGCGACGCAGCACTGCGTGCTGTTGCGGCAACTGTGGATTGCCAGCGTCTATCTCGCCGGCCGCTACCCACTCGAGAGTCGAGACGAGTTGCGACTTGCGTCGCGCGGCCAAGGCAGTAATGTAAACATATATCATATTGCACAAAGGCGATGTCTTATCGTTTTTGAAGCGCACGCAGTCCGCAACGTTCGAAATTGTTTTGCTGCCGAATATTTTCTGTGCTGAATATCGCACTGAGTTTTTTGTCTACCATGTATATGCATAAGTAATAGGTCGTTTTCAAAGTCGTCACTACTGGTCATTTTACTGATTTGCTGAAAAAAAACGAAGTAGGCGTTGCAGGTTATATTAGATGTATTAAGTAAATGAGAGACCTTTTTTGTTTTTCTCCAAGCAAATCAATAAAGTGACCCGCAATGACGGCTGTGAATCACTTCAAAAAGGCCTTAAAAAGTACACTGCTTAGAACGTCAAATTTTTTCTCAATTATAATCTCACATACTCCGCGAGCTATAATAAATAACGATGAATTAAACGATCAAACGAACTTACCGAGTGAAGTTCGATCGTAATTATACGAAGTCCTCGCTCGAATACATTACCAATTGTAGACGTCCCCGTACGGCTTGCTGACCACGAATTCAGAGTACCTGAAAGTAAGATTTTTTGGCCGCGCGCGGCGCCACACCGCTCGCACCGCGTACGGCCGCCCTTCCGCCTCAGTTTTTAGAGCAAGTTATACGAAAAAAATTTCACCGCTTCTTCCAAGGGAGGGTCTGAGTCTGTGGTGGGTGGTAATGTATTCGAGCGAGGACTTCGTATAATTACGATCGAACTTCACTCGGTAAGTTCGTTTGATCGTTTAATTANAATATTCGATGCTAAATTTATTAACGCGATTTTTACTGCTAGAAGCTCAAGATAATTTATGTGATACTTCTTTTCATCGGGTGACCAAATTCCATAAATTTTGCGTGTTCCATCAGTTGCGCCCCAGCCGTCAAGTGAAGCGTCAGTAAAAATCGTTAATTTGAACTCGTTGTTTTTTATGTAGTGTACATTATTCGGGATATTTTTTAACCACCACAAAAGGTCGGCTTTAACCGCGTCAGATAATATTATAGTCTTATCATAACAGAAATCATTAAAATATAATTGGAAGATTTTTTCTCTTTCCAAATTCTTAGTATAGAGCCAAGCATAATCAAGGGCTGGACAACATGAAACCAGTTTACCTATGAGATGAGCTAACTCTCGGATTTTGCACGATTGAGTGTTAAGGAATTTTTTAATAAGAATCTGCAAATTGTCTTTTTTGTACTCTGGGAGTTCAATACAATATCTTTTAGTATCAAAAATGAAACCTAAGTATTTCCCCTTTTGGGTAGGAATTTCGTTTGATTTTTCATTATGAATGATAAATCCCAATTCCGTAAGAAAAAATCTTGTCTTTTTCAAATTAGTTAAACACTCCTCGTAAGAATTCTCTATGCATAAAATATCGTCCAAGTAAATTACTGACGTGAAACCTTGCGCTCTTAACGATTTCATAACTACTTTCATGATTTTAGTAAACACAAGTGGGGAAGAACATAAACCGAATGGTAAACAGAGAAACTCAAAAATTTTGTCATCAAACTTGAAACGTACAAATTTTCGGCTGTTGGGGTGTAACGGTATCATAAAAAATGCGTCTTTTAAATCAATCGAGGCTAAGTAACTGTCCGGAAAAATTAATTGGATGGCAGTACGGAGATCCTCCATTTTAAAATGTTCTACTCTAACAAATTCATTCAAATATTTCAAGTTCAAAATAAAACGGTCGGAACCATCCGGTTTTTTAACTAAGAAATATGGGGATAATACCTGACCCACAGAGTATTCGCACTCTCTAATCGCGCCTTTTACTATTAACTTTTCAATCGCCGCGTTTAATGCGACTTTGTTTTCTGACTCAACGCGCGACTTATAAGTATGCATTGTTTCCGGAACAACAGTGTGAAACGGTATCTTATAGCCTAGAATTAAATTAAGAATGTAGCTATCATCCGTGATTTCCATCCATTTTTTATAAAAATATTTTAGTCTACCGCCTACATTTATTGGCTCGTTCGTTGGTTCGGACTGTACGGTGCTTGTCTGCCTCCGCGCCCTCGAGATGATCGACCCCTGTTGTTCACAAATTGTTGGCTGTTTCTGAAGAACAGCTGTTGTTTCGGACGTCCTCCGATAAATGTATTCCCCGCAACTCGACGTCCAACGTTCGGGGATTTCGTGTTTAAATTCTTAGAAGGTACCACTGGCTTGGCAAATTCTTGCCCTTCTTTTGACAGAGCTTTGGTTTCTTTAATTTTGGAAGACAGATCTTTCCCGTACAAAAATTCATCAATTTTTGTATTTTTCAAAATCTGTGCGCTGTCTTTAGCTAATCCAGGTTCTATAAACGCTTTCCGGTTTTTGGATTGCTTATTAATAATAAGGCACAGCAAATCTCCGGCTTCCTTCAGAGGCGACAGAACGTCCTCAATATCCATTCCTTCTGCTGCGTTGTTATAAATATTGGTCATAATCGAACCAATTATGGAGAGTCCTTGTGCAGCTGTTTTTTGAACGGCTAACATGTATTTGTCTCGCTTTTTAGCTGTCTCTTTCAAAATGCTGTCTAGCTGTGGGTTCAAGTCGGGTGGAGCCAGTTCCTCTAAGGTCTGATATTTTTCAATCAAGGCCTCTTCCTTTTCTTTTGACATGCCATCGCGACAGAGAAATTGCCATATCTTTAATAAATCTTTCTTTACGGAGAGTTTTTCACCTTTTGCAGAAGAAGGGTCCTCACCAATCTGCGAGCAGAAAAGGGGAACAATAAATTAGCGTCAGAGCGCATTGAAAAAATTTTTCAATTTTTAATTGCATAAGCACTATGTTTCTAGCCTCGTTTTGTCACGCGTACAAACACCGGCAGATTTCATAATAGGCAGCAGCACGTCTTGTCACGCATACAAGCACTAGCGCGATATACAACGGCTTGTCTTGCCACTCGTGCAAACACACCGTGCAGAAAGAACAGTAAACGTACATGAACGTATGCATATAAATACGAGCACGAAACTGCCTCGAGCGCCGCATACGCGCGAGCGTCCAATAACTGTGTAATTCCTAGAAACGCGTCGTCCATGCGCAACTGTTTCACAGCGCTATACGGATGTCGGACAGTGATCCGCCATTATGCTCACCCGTCGAGCCACTAATGCATGATTTTATTAAAATAATTTTACTCACGATTTTATTCCAATTATCATCGTCGATAGTTTCGTCATCCTCCTCTTCGATAGTTTTTCCCTCGCTTTCGGTGCCCTCAGGAGACAACGGATCTCTGGGAGGCGGTGACTGCAGTACGCCATTGTTGGTGTTTGGCGAAGCATTTTCATCACCCAATGGAGATTTATTCCCGCCGTCCTCGTCCTTATTTAGGCCAGTCTTAACGTTTTCCACCTCAGCATTCAACTTTCTAACTTTCTTGAGGAGCCTTTCCAACCTCTCCTCAGGCTCTCTTTCTCTCTTCGATTTCTTGGGCATCTTACTTTACTTTTCTAGGTTAAACTCACTATACGTGTGCAGCGTGCACGCACGAAAAAGCAACTGAGGCGGAAGGGCGGCCGTACGCGGCGCGAGCGGTGTGGCGCCGCGCGCGGCCAAAAAATCTTACTTTCAGGTACTCTGAATTCGTGGTCAGCAAGCCGTACGGGGACGTCTACAATTGGTAATGTAGAAGAGCGAGGACGCAGTATAATTCGAATGTTATATTTGGCATGAATAGACTAAAAATCCTTCATGGTGTCTTAATATTATATAAAACAAGAAACTCAAATTCTTAGTCAATAATTGATAGCTTACGTTTATATAGGTGTATTCATCTGTCGGTATCTCCAATGTTAAAAACCGTCTAAAATATTCCGTTATCTGATCTCAGTGTAACGAAATAAATCAAGCTGAATCCTATCTAATCTCATAAATCTTCGCTCATTAGCTCGATGTCGAACATAATTTTACAGCAGAGAATCGTCAGCTCGTGACTCATCAATGACAAGAAAGATTCCAGAACTTGCTGACGTAGAAAATCTCGAGCACAAATAAAAGCAAAACATGGCTCTTTAAACGAGTAGAAAATTTTCTATAGCCATCGAACGTATTGTGCAAGCCTAGTAGACTCTGTTCCTATGGGAATCGAGCTTGATTAGTAAAAATTATAATGCAATATTTATAGCTGCTGTTATGCGGAGAAAAGAAGAATAAAGTCGAGTTCTTTATCTTAATGTACACACTACATTTACTTTACAAGAGGAGTACATTTTCCAGAAAAAAAATTCTGCGATATTTTGCCTTTCTTCTCTGCCGAGTTATTATACAGGTAAAAATGTGCTTTTGATCGATGTCAACAATCAGCTATAAATAATTACACAAAGGCACTCAAAAAGCTGATATAATAACAATTATATCACGAAATATAACGTTTCAATCCGACCTCTCCTCGATTACGAAAAAATTGGTTTTTTTTTCACTTTCACGGTCGATTGATCCACGCGACGATGCGCCGATCATTATATGATTCGCGCGCATTTCTCTCTCGATAATCTCGGAGCTTTGAATATATAATTCGCGCGCGCGTCACGGTAATTCGAGAGCTTTTGAATATCGCCTTTTATTGTGGCTTTAATAAGCGTATAGAGTGTCCGAATGATCATTGCCTGTATAACCTTCGCCTCTTTTTTTTATTTTCCGTCGTCGCGAAATGCGAGCCATTTTAATCATTGGCACGTCTCATTTATAAAGAAAAAAATATAAGAAAATGGACACATTAAAGAAATTTTTATAAATCAGCGAAAAAAACGGCAACTGCAGAATTGTATACATGTTATTTATATAAAGGTTTTATACACTCGAAAGAAGCCGTGTGTGCTCAAACACTTTGAATGATTGCCTCGAGTTAGCAACTACTATGTGTGTATATTTACTGCCAGTGCGGCTCCTTTTGTTCTCTCGTTCGTTATTTCTTTCTTTCCAATTCTTTCATTCTCCCAATTTTTTTTTCTGAACTTTACATACGTTCGATGAATAAAAGAGCGAAAACTTTCGGGAAAATTCGCGTGATTTTTCTTCCTTTTCAGACTCGGTGATTGGCCTCGCGATTTTCGTGTATAAACACGCGCATATATTCATTCTGAATAATTCATGACGCGCGCGCACACACGGCTTGCGAATACACAAAAGCTAGACTATATTATACACCTCGAATTTACGTATTCTCGTATATACAATATGTATACCACAGCATTAAAATATTATATACATCACGATGATATCGCATTATAATCGTCATGTCGTGTTGCAGCCCATGCTGGCCGACACGAGGCGAGGCGGCATCGGTCCGGGTCAGCTGGCGACTTCGGGCGGCGTCGCGGGCACCAGCAGCGGCGGACAACAGCAGGACGACGACACCGAGGACGGCGTCGAGTACTATCGGCTGCGCTCGTTCTCCATCACGGCCAACGGCGTCTTCAATCTCGGCGACTCGCTGAAGAGCCGCAGATCGCGCAGCATCAACAGCGTCACCTCGTCGGGCGGCACGAGCTGCAGCAGCACGACGCGCGACGCTCGATTGCTCAGGTACACCATTACATATTTATATATTTATATATTTGCTTGAAAAAAGCTTGTGTTTGTGGGACAAACTTGACTGCATTGAAAAATTTATAGAGACTCTAAAAGATGTTGGCATAACCGAATAAAACATTTTTATGAGATCAAATTTAATTATAATGACAATGCAAGTGTTGATTTTTGAATGTTGACCTAGTGCCGAAGCCAGAGTAAAAATAAAGATTTTCCTTTGTGCATAAAAGAGCAAATATCTTAACAAAACGTTTATCTAAAAAAAAAATTCAGGTCCATAAATGTATTTCGTTATTTACAATGACTTTCGACACTCGACGAATCGATCGGTTGGCTGCATAGAGCGAAATGGTCAAACAAAAACAAAAATATATTGAATTTGATCTTTTGTGAAGATATTTCGAATTTGTTTGTATAGCAAATCAAACGATCGTGTAGTGCCATGAAATATCGCTAGATGGCTGTTTCCTAATTTTGCAAGAAACTGATACAAAAAGTAGAGAAGATCGGAGATTATATAGAAACCTGTGGTAAACATATTGAACTTTTTATCCATTTTTGTGTCTTAATTCATTTTTGAATGATGAATACAACACATTTGAAAGAGTTATTACGTCAGCGTTTTTTATTTGAAAAAATGAAAGAAATAATAATATGTGAAAAATTTTCGCGGTACGGAGGCTTTTTCAAGCGATAACATTTTTAAAATTACATGTTATCTATAGACGAGTACCCACGAGTCGACCGACAGTAGTGAAGTATATATCACAACACGATAGGATCTTGGTCTCTTATGGTTGGTTTTAAAGAGTCATAATTATGAAAAAAAGGTCGTGTATCTTTTTACCGCAGAAAAATTTTCATTTGAAAAGTTTACCTTATGGCATATATTGTAGCTTGCACACACGTTTACCCTCTACAAATCGTCGTGTAAGCATACACGATCCTCATTAATTCATGTACATGTAATATCAATGTATATTTAAAGTATATTTAATAACTTGCATTTTTCAAAAAATAAAATTTTTACGAAGCTACACGGCTTATGGGTTTCTTTACACTGCTGCTTATTAATAAAAAAAATGGTTGATTTTTAGAGAAAAATGTTTAAATTAATATTTCGGATATCGCTTCGTATCGTAATAAAATTTTCGAGTAGTGTTATATTCGATTATGAGTTTGTCGATTCGATCGACAGATGGCTTATTGTAAACTCGCAAGTTGTAAAAAAAGTTCCAATTAGTATATATATCAACGACGCTCTCGACTAGTACCGCTGTTCACGGACAATAATTTATGAGCGCATAAAGCGCAGTAGTAGTCGCGTGGGCGTGCTGCATATACATTATTACGAGTCAAAGAGAGAGAGGTTCACGACCTCGCGAGCTTCCGCATCGTCCTATACATATATATACTTTTTCTACCGCGGTGCAGTGACATCGAAGCTCTCGGCGCTATTTTCTTTTTTAACGCGAAAAACGTCGTATATTTATACGCATCGATAGGGGCGCGTTCGTCGGATTCGACGAATTCGCCTTGTGTACGTACCGCGCGAGCTATTTATCGACCCCAGTGACGTATAATTCGTATATCGATTATCGGGATAGAAATGGATTTAAACGTGACATTATAGTTTTGCGAAGTTTGCCATGGCATATATTACATTATCGATGGTGGAAATTCCGGACGTCATGATATGGACAACGATATTATGGTTGTTGGATTATTACGTCGTCGTGGGTTTTTCAACTGAACGACTGTATCACTCGCGCGTGTAAATAAGTATCGTCGTATGTTTGATTTCTGGTTATCATACTAAATACTGTCGAAAGCAAAAAATTACCGTTAATAGGGGAGATTAAGGTGTGTTGGCATGTGAGGTAAGTTGGCAAAATGGCATATTTCTCCTTATTAGGGAGTTGAACCGAGATGGTGCCATTGCATACAAATACAACCTACAATGGTGTTAGTACTACTGATAGTATTATTTCTATACAAGTTAGTAGTATGGAGAAATATGCATTTTTGCCAACTTACCTCATGTGCCAACACACCCCGCTCTCCCGTACTTATTGATTATCCGTTTCAAAAAATCAATGCATTCGATTAAAGTTAATATTGTTTTAGATTTAAAATTGGGATGTAAACAACATTTGCCAAACAATTTTTTAATTTGCATTCAATAAGTTATCATGCAGTATAAGAGTATGAAAGTATTCTCAAGATATTTTAGATAATTATAATATGTATTCATTATATTAAAATATTTTAAAATATTGAATAACATTAAATATACGACAATTTGTTTATAAAATTTTAAAGTGATGCTACTTTACTTCGTGGAAGTTCAATAAATGTTATATTACTGTGGTATCTATAACTACGAAACTATGAATGTAATCATAAACATTGTAAAATGTCACCTTCTCAGTGCACAAAATTTTCCCAATATTATATCATAAACATAACGCAGTGTGAATGGCTAAAATACACTTAAATATAAAACAAAAGAATGTATATCATATGAATAATTGTCTCGGTTAGCCACCGCTAAGTGGCGGCGACTACGATCGTCGCTCGCGCAATAAGATGAGACGAGTTCGCGGCATAAGAGAGCCGAGCTACCGGTATAGTTTTCAATTACACTATTTTCTCTTGATTAGTTATAAAATAATATCTTTGACCATCCGGAGAAAGAACTGTGATATAACTTATACGACACTCTCAACGTACAAGCACCTATCAGTAGTACAGGTCAGTCTGCGATCGGACGCGCATCAACGTAGTTTATCCTATTTCAATACTACACGTAAACGTTTCTAAAAATAGCAACGATTAATTATCGTTAATTACACGAGCATCGATTTATTTCACTTTGTTTCACAGCTCGACGTCGCAACTGTCGGGCATCGGGACGGATCGCCGCGACAGCAATGGCGAGGCGGCCTCCTCCTCGCCACCTCAGCAGCAACAGCAGCAGCAGCAAGCCGTAGCCTCGTACAAAGTCGGCATGCTCGGGGCGTCGGGCGTCGGCAAGACAGCCCTCACGGCTCAGTTCACCACGAGCGAGTACATCTGCGCTTACGACGCCTCGCTCGGTTGGTATTTTATATACATGAATAATAATGATGATGATGATACGTTTCGTAGACTCGTGCAAAGGTGTAAATAGGTGTATCGCGAAAGGCGGTTACTTATATGATCGCTACATTGTTTATATTTACGATATTAATATATCGGTCGACTCTCAATTAGACAATTTTTGTAGGTACAAAAATTCATCACAATTTCAGAATTCTTCCAATTGACCCCGATGCCAAACAATAACAATTTTTCGGAAAATCTAAAAAACGATCTTAAAAAAGTAATTATATTAATTTCAATACCTCAGAGTCCATTGAAAGTACCACGCGAAAACCCCTAACCGTGTCGATTAATTAACATACTTATATACATAAATCGCCTCGATGACTTAATTTTTTCTAATTTTCTGGCACACATGTACACACGACACGTGGCTGCTTATTGCCTATATAGATCGGCAACGCGTGATATGTATTGTACAACGGAGCAAAAAAAAATTGCCAAGCGCCCGACCGGCTTATACACATTATAATAAATATAGAAAACGCTGCCTCTGCGCGCGATTAATCATGCTGACGGCTGATATCGTAGAAAATATTTGCATAAAAACGCGCGTTGGGTGCACACACACGTACACACGATATACGTAAACGCCTACATCGAGATTATCCTTTCAACTGCATGTAATAATAATGATAATAACGATCGAGTCCTTCAATACGGAAAAGCCAAAAAGGAGAGCTGCGGCACGTGCGTGTACATCAAAGTGTTAAGCTCATACACGTCGTTTATGCAGTGCGCGCGCGGATAATAAAACGCGATGTATACAATAATTTTATTTTCAAGATCGTTGCCGACGTAGTTCGCCCAACGACGACGACGACGACGCGTGGGTGGGTGGGTACATTGTGTAGCGTACAAATGTAAGTGACACTGGGCGAATTTTATTTTTACGTATACGTTACGGTATCGTAAAATGCAATAAAAACGAGGATTACGGTCGCCTTCGGAGTCGGTCTCTATGAATATACCAGCTCCTGGACCGTGATACACTTTTGCGTAGTTGCCAAGGGGTTATCGCAAGTATGCGTCTTTCGAGCGGATTGCGTACCCACGTGCGTATTTGATACAGCCCGTGAGCTAGTATGTACGTATTTATAGAATTTTAGAAATAGTTTAGTCCTGTGAACGAGTTTATATGCGTACGATAATCGGAAGGAAGGTGAGAGATTTTTACAGACTAAACTTTTTTTACAAATAATTCAAGTTCTTTATTGCGCTTTATTAAATAAGGCGCAATTTTACAGAAATAATTGTATAACAAAAAATTTAATCTTCAATTTAAATTATTCTAATTTTTTATTCATTCATCTTCTTGTGAATGCTTGAAGCGTTACGAAAACAACGAAGCTCACTCGTCCTCCTCTCGTTCGGCGACCGACCGGCAAACGCGATACAGATCCTCGCTGTGCTCAGTTTCTCGATGATTATCTCGCCAGCTCCAGTAGAGGTTCCAGCGCCTCGTTTATTCGTATTACTTCCTCGTCTTACTTTACAATATTTTTACTCGTCGGAGTATTCGACAGAAAATTGATACTGCGGATGCCTCTCTAACTTGTCATGCTCGAGCCGAGTGTCTATGAGCAATAATTTAAACACGTCGATCACAATACGTGTAGCGACTTTTAAAACTTGTTGTACAAAAGTTCGATGATACTTTTCTGCTGAATATAATTTACGTGACATTTGATTCCAATTTTTCAAAAAAGGACTTGAACGCAAAAATGCAAAGTAAAAAGTTTTGGAATTTATTGATGCATTCATTGATTCGATGCTTCACCTCAAACGACCTATTTTTACTACATATATCGGTTTTTTGGTCAGCATTCGTGATGAAATTTCAGCAATTTCTTTGTGAATTTTTTTAACATTTTAAAATCTACGACAATTTTAACTTTATCCATTTTATATCGGAGTCAAAACGTTTTGTAAGCTATAGAATCGATAATCAGCTTTGAAGGCAGTAATTTGTATATCGAGAATGCCTCGTAAAAATTCTTTGGCTTGAAAAATTTAAATTACTTCCTGTTGCTGTAAATAAAATATTTTCTTCCGTTGCGTTGTTTGGCATTTTCTCAAAGATCGGCAGGCAAACTTCATGTGTCCCTTTATTTTATGTCGGATTCTTCATCTCGAACTTTTTGCCACTAAATTTCATTTTTTTCCCCCCAAATAATTTTATCCGTTCTGTTTCAACGCTCGTTTGTGGTATATACAATATACACGCGAAGAAGAAGTTCAAAGCACTTAAGCGTCTGTCGAAAGCTCGCCGCTCTAAACTTATATATTATATACAAGTATATATATCGGAGCCCCGGAACGTTTTGTATCACCATCGAATCGATAATCAGCTTCTAAGGGAGAGCCGCAGTCGAAAAAAAAGAAGAAGGGAAAAAAGGGCCGAGTGTCAATCGCGACACAACGAGAGAGAGAGAGAGCCAAGTGGCACGAGGTCGATGAAACCAGTTCTTTTCCGTCGGTGCGCGGTTTATTTTTTTTTTCGCTCGTACACAACGTTCGTTCTTTCTTACCTATTTTTTATTTTTTTTTTTTTCGGAGTCTGGGCAATTTCAGCGGCGTTTGATCCTTTTTTTTTCAACTTCTTTCTTTCTTTTTATTTTTTTCGCTAGGTCAGGAAAACGTGCGATATCGATGGTTACCGCTATATATACGAGCCGCCTTTTGATCTACTTCGGCTGGCAACTTGAAATTTTCTGGTACACGAGAGAGTGAGTTATAATAATGTGTACCGCTCGGCTTTTGCGGGCTCCACGTTACTTTATTTCAGTTGTTTTTTTTTTTACAATTTTTTTCCAATTAATAAGCATCGGCTCAATTTTGCCTTCGCATTTTTCACAACACACACACACACGCACACTTGAATCGCAAATCGATAAACCGATACACCTTTGCGCGCTCCACGGACCGTGAAAAAATGTATTAATAACCGTTTTTTTTTCTTCTTCTTTCATCTCTCGAATCGTAATTTTTTCTTTTTCTCTCGTTTTTACCACGATGATTGTCCGCAGACGACGAGTACGGCCAGAAGAGCGTGTCGGTGATGATAGACGGCCAAGAGACCGAGTTGGAAATCATCGATCATCCAGCCACGGAGATGTCGGTAAGTATATCCCCGTCGTCGTAGCTATTATTTATCGATCAAAAAAAATTATCCGATGTGGTGGTTGTGGTGATGGTGACCATCGCCTTTTTTTCACCCTATCTTACCCACTCTCGCCACCCTTTTTTTATTTATCTTTATTATGGAACTGCGAATCATTTCCGCGTGTATTTACAGACTATCTCGGTCGATGCTATTATAGTTTCCTTTTTTTCTTTTTTGCGATATTATCAGCCTCTCGGTTTGAAAATGCACAGCGACGCGACGCGATGTGTCTATCAACGTATATCTTTCCAATCCATTTGAGCTTTGCCGGCGCGTCATTTTTTTAATTAAAAAATCACGAAAGCAAAGCAAAGCAAAAAGCAAAAAATAAAAGAAGAAAACGTTTGTTTCCAGCGAGTTTTTCCCTCGATATATAATTATAAATACGCCACGAGCAATTTTGAATGAAGATTTTCCTCTCTCTCTGATTTACGCCGCCTTGATTAATTGATACGCGTACGCACACGAGAGCTTTTCTCTCTCTCTGCGCACGAGCGAGTTACGTTTCGAGCAGCGCCACGAGAGAGAGAGAGAGAAGTGCAACGCTGCGAGTGGCGTTATTAATGACCCACATAAATTAAGCCGACTATACGTGTGTGTACGCGCCGAGCACCGCCTCAAGACGTTTTGATAAAACGTAATTTTACCCTTTCCGCCCGGAGGCAGCACACGACGCGCGCGTTTAGTTATGTTTTTTTTTTATTTTTAACTCTCTAAATGTAATTTTTTTTATACACAAAAGGTCGAGGCCTTCTGCTCCACGTACAATCCGGACGTCTACGTGGTGGTGTACTCGGTGGTGGACCGTGCGAGCCTCAAGTACGCCGAGGACGCCCTCATGTATCTCTGGAAGAGCGACTACATGGCCGGCCACGGGGTCATACTCGTCGGCAACAAGGTCGACCTCGAGCGCAAACGCGAGGTGCCCGCTATAAGTGAGTATATATGTATTATCATATGCACGAATTTCGAGTAGCGAGCCAAGTATATGTAAGGAAAATGCAAAATTAGAAAATGCTCTCGAGAGTATATAAAGTGGCAGCTGCAGCTGACGCGCGCGCGGGTTTTTACGATAACTGTCGAATCGCGTATAAACATGCGCAACACGCAACGCTCGGCAACAAGTTTTTATCCTTCGGATAATATACTTTTCTACTCTTCTTCTTTTTCTTTTTCTTCATTTTTTTTTACCCTCCTGGATTATCTTATTAAAAGATTAGATTGGATAATAACAACAACAACAATAACAATGATCTCGAGCACAAAGAGTCAAGGATAAAAAAAACGAAGTATCTTTTCTCTTTCTTCCTGACGCAGTGGGTCGCCGGGTGGCCAACGCCTGCGGCTGCAAGTTCATCGAGACGTCCTCGGGCCTGGCGCACCACGTCGACGAGCTGCTCGTGGGCGTGCTGGCCCAGATCAAGCTGAATCCGCAGCGCGACCGGGACCGTGTGTCTCGGCGCCGACGCAGCAAGCAGCGCGGCCGGCTGCTCAAGCATCTGCTCGGCTTCAAGCGCAAGACCAAGAGCTGCGAGAATCTGTTCGTTCTTTGAGGTGAACGATTGCCTTTTTGTATAAATTGCGAGTTGTACATAATTATGAGAAAAAAAAGGAAAAATTAGCTGTCCGATCTTAGGCTCTTATCTTTCGTACCTACTATATGATAATTGTGTAATGTAATATTTTATGTATATTCGTCGAGATTCCTCCGTTGCCAAAACAAAAAAAAGAGAAGAAAAAAGTTAATGATACATTCCCAACAACGATTCCTAAAAGTATATATGAACCATATATTTAATTGTAATCGATCATCGAACGAACGAAATAAATGGTAAACAAATGATTATAAAAAAAAATAAAATTGTTATGATATAGCTCTAGGGATAAGTATAAAGGGAAAAAAAAAAGTTTTTTACTCCGCAAATAGATTATAGGCTCTTGAACGCGCCGTCGCCGTATTATCGCTATCTCATTATTATTATTATTATACATCTATGTCCTTCCCGCTCCCCTGCTGCGTTGTAAATAGGATTATTAACCCGGCTGGATTCGCGCGCGCGTCCCCCTTTCATTACGGAGATAACAACAACAAAAATCGATATGCGTGTGCGTACGTGTGTTTGTGTGTGTGTGTCTGTGTGTGTGAGGAAGAAAATAGTCGCAATCAACGAAGAAAACAAAACAATTTACGTCGCGCGCGTAGCCAGCGGGAGAATATGATTTCGACGTTTCGTTGCAGGTATCTATTATTATTTTATTACAACACAAGTGGTGGTATACGCCAATGATGTGTATACCTATCGAGTTCGTAATACGATATATGCGATGCGCTCGAGACACTTCGAACCAATTAACGCGTAAGATTATACTCGGATAAATTAACGATTGTAGAGCGTGTGTGTGTGTGAGTGCGATTTTTACGACAACAGCCGTTGAAATCAATTACGTATGTGTACATAATAATATTATGTATGATGAATGATGAATGATTGTGATTCGTCGTGCTTGATTCCTTCTCCCGTTGGACGATAAATGAATTACATGTTCGAGTCTCGTTCTTGGAGCGTGTGTGTACATACAAATTTTATCGATAATAAACATAATTTTCCGGAAATGGCCAACGATCCCCTCCACTTAAAGTGAACGCGAAAATCGTTCGTATCATGGCTTCGTTATAATTTACATAAGATTTGTTTTTGTCGTTATGTGTCTGATATTAAATCTGTATTACGTCCTATCCACTGTACGCGTGAAAAATTAACTCGTTATATATTTAATTTACATATAGAAATGTCGAACTCTGTACATTGAAACCAAAGATGAAATAAAAATAAAACGATTATACGATTATAAAACAACGATAAATCAATCCTGTCTATTGCTCTTATTGTTTCGAATGAATACGTCGTCAACGTAGCGCGTTGGTGTATATATATGCGCAATACGCGATACATATACGAACGCAATTGATAAACCACGTGTGGCAGCATCTTTCATATATACACAGCTAATACCTGCCCTGTGTATATATACACACAATTCCCTCGTGGCGGCGAGAGAGAGAGAGTAGCGCAGCACCGAGGCTATCAGCGGCGGCGGTGCGCGTGGCAAATTTACACCTGTACAGTATAGTATAGTATAGTATAGTGCAAATACGGCGCCGTGTGTCGATGAGCTTTCGATCGATTTCCTCTCTTGTTATGTGTGCAGTGCATCTGCGGTCTGCTCTCGTGTGCTGCTGCCGCTGCGCTTCGGATTTTAATTCATCAGCACTTCATTGTGCAGTGTGCACTGTATGTGTACATTCGATGCATGTTGTATATTGGCTTCTCGCGCCTCCCTCTGAGGGATATACGCGTAATCGTATTACAACGGAGAGCATATATAAACTTTATATAGCAATGTGGTGCGATCTCTTTTATTCGCTTGATTATTTTCAATCGTATCGTGTAAATAGCTGGCTGTAAAATTTACACGTATCATTGCAACTTCGGGTTTATTATGTTTTTACTTGGGATGCGTTTAATTCTGCAACTGTCAAAATCGTAAATAAAGCGTTTGAGGGGTCGCCAGTGCTTTAATTATTTACGTAAATAATAACAATAGGTAACCCCTACTTCGCTATGTTTACGTTTAGAGCTGTTGCAGAATTAATTGTTTACTCCCACGTGTTATGTAGTAAGTTTGTAACATATATCGTAAGCATCATAAGCATGATCCGATTCCCAGAGAGATTATACACCTACGATGCATCCATCTGCTGCATACCAACTTCTCTCCCGTGCACACATCCTTATGATGGACGAGACGTTTCGTATACATTCGTATATCTACGTAGTAAGTATACACATTCGTAATGTACTACAATGAACGTTGAATTCGGTTATCGAGCAAAAATCGTAATTACAGCGAAGTAGGGGCGATGCGTATGCCTAGTCGTCAACCATTGTGTATTATTATTGTCGCGTATGTTTTAGGGATGTGCGAGTACTCGAGTTTTTCCAAGTACTCGCCATGTATTTGAGTTTTAAGCGAATAAATGATGAATTAACAGTCTCTAGACCCCTCCCTTTGTGTGTACATGCTGATAAGTGTGATGAAGTGTGGTAACATAAAATTATTTTCTTCTTACAATCCAATCCGCCGCGAATATCACACTTATGAGCATGTGCACACGAAGGGAGGGGTCTAGATTAGACTGTTATTCCTCATTTATTTACTTAAAACTCAACGAGTAATCGAAAAAAACTCGACAAAAATTCGAGTACTCGAATTGTCCCGACTCGAATCGAGTAAAACTCGCAAAATCGGGTACGCGCACAGCCCTAGAATGTTTTAAACGCAGGTGGCCCCTACTTCGCTGCATTTACGATTTCTGTACGATAATTGAATCAATAGGATATAAAATGAATATAATTGTATCGTTAATGTTTAGCACAGTAATTACAATGTCAACGAATGCACTCAAAGTACTGAAAAAAAGACGGCAAACGAGAGCAAGATAAAGAGACGATTCAAATCTAGCGGGGAAAAACATGCGTTGCATGCACGACTCATAGTATACAAAAGACTTGATTGTGCCAAGTCCGGATAGGAGAGCCATCGCAGAACGTGTGTTACAATATCCATCAAAGCCTCGCAGCAAATTACATCTGGTTTTGTGTAGTGCCGCGACAAAACATGTCTCAACTCGTTCGTAAGACAGTTGTCAGCGCCGCTCCGCCGCGCGCGTGTCGTTCAGCTCAGTTCAGTCAGTGATCAATCCGCGTCTACAAGCGCAGTACACGTTACGACGCCTCAGCGTAAACAGCAAAAGATCGAGCGGACCAAGTGTTTTTGTGAGTGCGTGAAAAAAATGGCCGCCGACGGCAGGTTCGAACTTTTTCAGGGCTTCATATACGGTATCTTAGCCAATCAAACGAGCCGAGAACAATTCGATAGACTGAGGAGCATGCGAGATAACGTCAACTGGGACCGCGAAGTCGAGCGACGCGAATTGTTCGACCGACTCAGAGATCTGTTCTGGGGTTGGAACGAGCGACTTCCAAACCTCCGAGATATCTTTCGTCGCGACGAGATGGATTGGCTTCTCGCGGAGTACGTCAAGACCGACGACGCCAAGTCGCCGCCGCATCCCATCTTGCATTTTGCCATCGCCGCCGGCTACAGGGACGAGCCCGAGTTGGGCCCGGACGGCAAGCCGTCGTCCGCCCGTCGCACGACGCCGCTCCATCAACTGTTCAAGTTCTGCACCTTCCCCTACTGGAACTTCGTGGCGCGCGATCTGTTTCAGATCTACAACAGATTCGACGTGAACTACGCCGACGAGCGTGGCCGTACGCATTTTCACGCGGCCTGCAAGTACGGCTGCAACGAGGCGGTGAGGCGATTTCTCGAGTCGGGACTCGATCTCAAGCGTCTCGCGCGAGAAACGGACCCGACCGTGATCGATCCACCGCTGCACTTGGCCCTGGACAATCAGAACGAGGAAGTGTTCAAGCTGCTGCTGAAACACGGCGCCGACCCGAACTCGGCCAACGAGTTCGGTGAGACTCCCCTGCACGAAATTTCTACGTACGACGGGTTGCAAGGATTTGGGAAGATACTGTTCGAGATCAGCGACGAGAGAAATCAGACGCTGCGGGTCGACGCTCGAAACAGCAGAGGACTGACTCCGCTGCATTTCGCCGTGGAATATTTCCAGCCGGACACGCTCGAACTACTGTTGAATCGCGGCGCCGATATGTCGGACTTCGTTTTTCCCAGGGATTGCTTCGAGGACGATGAACCGTACGATTACAAAGAGTGCGACGCTAATTTGATAATGGCGTATCGCATGCTGGAGGTCATCGAACTCCTGGAAAAAAAAGGATACGTAATGGATAGAACGGACGGTTTCATGATCGTGAGTTGGATGCAGCGGTACTTCTTCGCCGTCGAGATACAAGATTTTGATTTCTGGGGCAGACACGGAAACCTCGTGGACAGGACGAAGGAATTGACGGTGATCCCGAGCTTGTCGCTTTACGACTTGATCGAGATGCGTTCCGACGAGGCCAAGCGACTGCTCGCGCACAAGGACTACCACGAATTCGTGACTTCGAACGAATTCAGGCAGCTTCCCCACAAATTTCGCGAAGATTGCTTGCCGCGACTGTGCGAGAAAATGTGCAGAAAATTTTTCTGGCGTTGGGCACTGGAGCCCCTCTTGGAGTTTACACGTCAACGATTGCCGATACTCTGCTGCGAAAAAATCATGAACTATCTGAAGAACGAGGATTTGTACACCGTGTTCGAAACGGTTGAAATGTACGGAGAAGATTATTTTGTCGAAGATGCGTGATACCGTTCGCGGAGAAATTTTAATTTTTTTTTTTTGTAACTTTTCCAAACATGAGTTTTTTTTCTATTTTTTCGAATTTTTCTATGTTTATTGTTTTCCATGTACGAATCTCAAGGAGTTTCACAATCCCATCTTTGTAATTAATGTTTAAAAAGTATTTTTGTCTGTGCATGATTATTTTTATAAAAATTATGTAAAAATTGTCTGGCGTTGCATGAAAATAAAATGAATCATACTTGAGTCAATCAAATAATTCAATTGCTACAATTTATTTAAAAAAATGTTAAAAATTAAAATCTTCTAGTTTTTTTCAAAACGAGATGTAATAAAATAGAAATTAGTCTTTCGTCTACGGCACATGACGACCAGGTATGTAAAAAAAACAGCTATACAATACAATCAGAATCAGATTTCCAGTCAAATCGAGCTCTATTTCCAGTACAATCCTGCTCGATTTTCCAACTGGAAATCCAGCTATTTTTTTTAATCTAATTTAAAATTTAATCTAATTTCTTCCCATTTCAATGTCTTGAAAATGATAATGTAATTGGTTCAAACAATTTAGACAATTTTTCAACCATTTTAAACCTTCACCACTAGATGGCTAGTGCCTTTACGCGTAAATCTTCTAGTGGAAAAGTAAAAAGAGTTGTATATGTCAAATCATGGTTTTCAAATGTTTTCGTCATGAATATTTTCAAAATTCGTCTTCGCATCTGCTTTATTTTTAATCTAAAAAAAAACTAACCGTTAAACATTTTAAATCATATAAAAATTATTTGCCTTGTTCTCAGCGATTTTTCTATTACAATTATGTTATAAATAATAAGCGCATTACGAATGAACTTGAAAAAATAATTTAATCTTTGCAAAACACAAGACCAGTTTTCAAACTCTGTAAATATGATAATTTAAGGCTCTACCACTAGATGTCGAGCATCTTCATCCGTAAATCTACAAGTGGGAAATTCGAAATAATTGTTCAAGTCAGAGCAAGAGCAGTGATAATTATCATTGCAACGAATTAATAAGTCGATAAAAAAAAACGTGGCTGCCTCTATATGACTCGTAAAATGAATCGTATTTTTTCAGCTCAAGGTCGGGAATTTCTTTTCACGTTGCATTGCAACATATATACGCTACAGCGCGACGCGCAAAAGCTCATCGAAGTATCGAATTTTCGCCCCGCGCGTGCCACCGCGCTTGCTTATCCCTATGCTCTTGGCGCTATTATATATAGCCCGCGCGGATACGTGTGAATTGATCAACCATCGGCCGCACGTATTCCGGTCAAGTGATGGGTGTGCTATGTATATTATTTTTTATACATAATGTACGATACATATATATGTATCGTATAGCGCATCTCGAAAGACGATAGCCGCGCGATGCATCAGCGATTTTGCATTATTCGAGGCATTGCGACCCGTCACGTCGAGGAACGGAAAGGTAATTTATTTCACCGCAGTCGTTATTACGTAGATCATTGAAAAAAAAGCAGAAAAAACGGCAAAGTTCATCCAGGTGCACTTTCGCTCTCGGTTAATTTGCGTATACGAACGAAATATCGATCGCGCGCGAGAAGAAAAGGTGCGAGAGGGAGAAAAATGCAAAGTGGGCTGAGAGACGCAGCCGCGTTTTTCTTTCTTTCGTGCAATGATGCACTCGTACGACTTTGCGCGTCGTCTTGTTCTTTCGGCTTTATTGTCATATCTCGTACTTCCGTCGAGTTAAGTTTTTTTTTCAAACTCGAGACGAGAACTCGATTTTTTGCAAGAATTCGAGCTTTTTTTTAAAACAGAGTGTTCTATACATTTTTTTTTTAACTTGTTATAATTTTTTTGATTGTAAAAAAAATATCTTTCTTATGTATTTATTTTACTAAAAGATACTGAATTTCATAAAAATTAATCAATTAGAATGAATAGTTAACATTCAAATGAATTAATAAAATTTTGTTATGAACACGTCGTTCAGGTAAAATGTCTCTTTGTAAATTCTTTATATCTCTGTTTCTCACTAAGATTAATAAATAATTAAAAAGGAAAATGTGGTTACTTTCGGTTGACGTGCTTAACATTGTATTTTTGTTGCAATTTACAAAACTACGATAATTTTTAAAATTATGTAATGATTTTTCAATAAATGTATATGTATCTCGTCAAGTATTGAAAAGAAAGAAATTTTTTGACAAATAAATTATTTAGAAGCACTTTGCACGTTCAAATTTAAAAAGTGTTAAATAATGGAAAATAATTTAGATTTTTATATTAATAAACACAAGATCATTTTACGTAAAATGGTGGGAGGACACGATTCTGAATCAATTTTTCATAATCCTTTTTCTCCTAGAAATTTCGACTCTTCACATTTTTTTCATAAAAATTTTCTTCCTGAAATATTCTTTTCGTAAAATATTGATAATATTAGGGACTACACAAGTGGGTGATAATCCACATAGTTGTTAATTTATTTGTTATTGCTTCGGTTGTATATCATTTTTATTTAATTTCGTAACCATAAAATGGCCGAGTTATTAGAATCTTATCAAGGTGGTGATTTACAACACAAAATTTTAACAAATTTCAAACGGTTTTCGGTAAAAAGCATACAAGTATCTATATTCATTTTTATGGCAATTGCTGCATATGCTTCCTTATATACATCGCAACTGAATTTTTCATAACCCACGAAACCTTTTTTTCACTCTCATTTAAATTAGACAATAGATATCCTAATTCTGTCAAATGATATTATATTATACTTATATGTATATTATATTATATTAGTGGCAACGTATGTTGCTAAAGCTGAGTGTTGAATAATATGGAATAAAAAAATTACGATGTACTATCTATTGAAAATAATCGAGCGTGAAAGCGTGTGAAAATAATCAAAAATAATTTTTACGTGATTGCTCGACAAATTATTTCCAATGTAAACAAAATTTCAACCGCCGAAAGTAAAAGTTCAAAATCTATGTAAGATCTGGAATTAGAATAGTTGAGAAAAACTAGTGCTATTAAATAAATAGTATTCAATAAAAAATTAAAAAGTCGAGAGATTTTACAATGTCAGCTTCGGAAAAAATAGACAATCACCTGAATGGAATTCATTTAAAACTTAAACAAATTGTTGCGATAATTATGAATAGTCTTTCGTCACCAAACAACACGTGTGAATTACCATCGCAGTTCTTGGATGCGAAAGTTTTTTCCTTTTGCTAATAACTTTTTATACTTTTTTTTTGCCGACTTATATATTTTTCAAAATATGCGAAATGAAACAATTTCTCCAAGAATAGTTAATGAAAAAAAAATATATACACTCGGCAACAAAATTATCGCAACAAAAAAATTCATCGAAATTTTGTCGATTTTCAAATGCTTCTATCTTGGGCTAGATTTATCGTATCGACACGCTTTTTTTTTTTAATTTCTTGGAAATTTTCCCTCTTCCTCTCCTCCTCTTTAAATCCATATAAATTAAGATAAGATTTGAGTTAATGTTGAGTTACCAGTAGTATTTGAGCGTGACCCTAAAAATTACTGAAAAAAATGACTGTTTGAACGTGTACCAGTACCACAGTGATTTTTTTATCGAAATCTAACATACACCATCGCAAAGTGCTCTTTTCAACGAGTAATTTAAAAAAAAAAGACCTCTCTACGATTTTTTTAACGCCCTGTAGGTCGATTTGAAGATACCATTTAAAGTACGTAAAATCCCCCGTTTACCTGAAATCAAGACGATTTTCTGGTCATTTTGCGTACATAAACCGTACCTTCACATCGACCTACAGAGCGTTAAAAAAATCTTAGAGAGGTCTTTTTTTTTAAATTACTCGTTAAAAAGAGCACTTTGCGATGGTGTACTCGATAAAAAAATCACTGTGGTACTGGTACACGTTCAAACAGTCATTTTTTTTCGGTAATTTTTAGGGTCACGCTCAAATACTACTGGTAACTCAACATTAACTCAAATCTTATCTTAATTTATATGGATTTAAAGAGGACAAAATTTCCAAGAAATTAAAAAAAAAGCGTGTCGATACGATAAATCTAGCCCAAGATAGAAGCATTTGAAAATCGACAAAATTTCGATGAATTTTTTTGTTGCGATAATTTTGTTGCCGAGTGTATATTCTTCATGATTTTTGAGAAGAAATCGATTTCTCGACATTGCGAACACGCGCGTCGGATTTCTCGCGCGTCTCTATATCGCGGGTGTCGCGGTGTATCAATAATAATGATCGAGTCGTAAAACTTATACAACGTATATCCGCAAGTACTTTTATATTATGCTATTGAAATGCGCGCAAAGTCGAAGATTGTAAATTCGAACCAAGCGACATTGACTGCTGCTCGCACGCGTGGATTTGCTCTGTTCTTTTTTTTTCTCATACTTTTATTTATTTCTCCGCTTTTTTTTGGTCAACGATCAAAAGAGGAAGAGGCAAAAACAACGAAAAAAATTACCCTACGCTACGGTTGGCACTTTGAGAGCCAAGGATGTAATAAAGGCGTGTAAAAGAGCTTCGTCGTACTGTATATAATAATATATAACAACAACCGCGTCGACCTCCTTTGAAAATTCCTCCGCAAGCTCGGCCCACGTTTATATAGCACAGAGAGAGAAGAGAACCGAGAAGAATAGCTTTGTTACATTGTAAGTCGTATATAATACACTTGGCTATACGTACGACGTAGCAAAGGGTAGCAGTAGTAGAAGTATTATATTGTTTTATTCAAAGGAGGGGGTGTATTTGCTACGTGATAGACGTATAATTGTAAGGCTGCCAAGACCTGCCAGAGCTACTCGTGGTATACGTATACATAGCTATCTTATCTTTTGTACAGATGCATAACAGTGTACAACTATATATACAGGAGACGGGAATTAATTTTGATTGCGGTAAGTGCACCGCCGCTCTCGGTTCGCCTCGGTGAGCTTTTTAATCAGAAACATTATTTTTTCCTCCCTTTTATGTTGTGCTTAAATTATTATCATTTTTTGTCGTCGTCGTCGTCGTCGTCGTCGTTGAAGGGTTGAACTGATACACCGCACGAAGTTGCTTGGCCTGTAGCTACGTGTGACGTATGAAATCGGTTTCTTTCTTTCTTTTTTTTTTTTATTGCTCAGTGAAAAATTACCGAGTTTTTGGATTTTTTGTTTGTTACATGTGTCCATTACCATTATGTCCAGTCCCAGCGCCTATCAGAGACTCGTGCAGAGGGTAGCCTCGAGATTGCCGGATAAGGCGCGCGAAGTGTTTCTCCATCCGGCTGGTACATACACAACACAACGAACTCGTGATTAATTAATAATAAATTGACGGTTGGAGGTTATCGATTTACTTACAGTTTCGTATTTACCGCGACACGTGTGTCTTATCTTTCTTTCAAAAAAATCGACTCTTTTCTTTTTTACTATGCGTAAGAATTTTTTCCTTTACCCGTCATCCTCTCTTCGCGCGAATCAGGGCCAACGACGATCTTCTTCTGGGCACCGACGTTCAAGTGGGGACTGGTGATAGCGGGTATCGGCGACATCAATCGACCCGTCGAGAACATCTCGCTCAGCCAGACCTTCAGCCTCATGATGACCGGCTTAATATGGTCGAGGTAATATAAATATATATACAGAGCAGTTAAAGAACGAAATATATTATAAAATTTATGGATCGTCGATTTATTAAATTTACACACAGATACTCGCTGGTCATCATACCGAAGAATTACAATCTGCTGAGCGTCAACGCGTTCGTGGCGCTGACGAACGTTTACAATTTCACGAGGGGATACATGTACCAAGTGCAACAGCAGCAGCAAGGAGATCCGAAGAAGAGAGATAAAAAAAAATAAAATTCTTTTTTTACAATGTGTCACAAAACCCTGGTAGTTTTCTTCGTTGATCAAACAATATACACGTGCATCTTTATTTCCTTTCGATATATTTACAAAATTTTCGAAACTGGACGCGTCCACGGACACGAAAAAACAATTATCTCACGGTCACGCTGATTATTTTCACGTCGTCGTAGGGCTTGTCGGTTTTCGGATTCGTCTTCACCGTGCTGATGTTCTGCACGACTTCCATGCCCTTGACCACGCGGCCGAACACCGTGTGCTTGTTGTCGAGCCAGGGCGTGGGCGTCAGGGTGATGAAGAACTGGCTGCCGTTGGTGTTGGGCCCGGCGTTGGCCATGCTCACGGTGTACGGCCTGTCGTGCTTCAGCTCCTTCACGAACTCGTCGGCGAACTCGCCGCCCCAGATGGACTCGCCGCCGGTGCCCGTGCCCGTCGGGTCGCCCGTCTGTATCATGAAGCCCTTGATCACCCGATGAAAGATGTGGCCGTTGAAGTAGCCGCTCTTCGAGTGCACGCAGAAGTTCTCCACGGTCTTGGGCACCTTCTTGCCGAACAGATCGATCTCGATGTCGCCCAGCGCCGTGTGCAGCACCGCCGTGTTGAAGACCTTCTGCTCGTCGTTGGCCTCGGTCGACGAGATGATGTCCTCCTTGGACGGGCGCTCGTTGAACACGTCGCGGTCGCAGTCCGGGCCCTTGGTGTCTACAGGTTCGCGCTTCGTGAACATGTAGAAGCGATTCTTCTTGTGGGCCGTGCAGAACAGCGTGGGATCCGGCTCGACCATGTCCAACGGCGTGTTGTCCGAGGCCTCCCTCTCGAAGGTCACGGCGGCCGTCTCTTTCGCTTTGCCCTGAAAGAGACCCAACTGCATCGGTCGGAGATTTTCAGATTTACCCAATATTCTGACGCATTGATTCGTGTAGGTATTGATTATTTTCAGTCCCAGCATCGTGCTGTATATCAGCATGTAGCCTGACTCGTCGAATAAAATGTTTCCTAAATTTGTTTCAGTTTTGTCCATTTCTTTTTCCACTGCCAACCTGTGGATTGTCAATTATTTTTTAGCAACATGCATAGAATTAATGACATTTTTAATTTATCATGATTCAATGTTTACCTTCTACAAAATTCCATATTTGGGAGTTGATGAGTGGTTTGCTGTAATTCTACAAATTTTTGCAGGGACTCATCGTAAACCCTGGACATTTTACCAGTAAGAAAATGGAATAGTCTGATTTTTCTGTCTTGACATAATGCCGCAAACTTCTTTCCATCTTTTGACACAGCTAAACTACATGGATATGTCTTGTTCTTGGCAAATTCATATAAATCTGTATCTAGCTTGGACTCAAATGGTATACACTTAGGAGGGCACTGATAGTTACTCCTTGGTCCAGACCAATACTCTACGATTCCAATTTTATCCACAGATATGCAAACATCGAACACAGGATTGTACTGAAAAATATTAATATTAATAATTTAATATTTTTTTAAAAATCAAAGAGCTTATCTCATTCAAATTAATTATCATGAAAGTACCTTCATAGCTATAACTTGATACTTATGAAGATTGGTTTCAAATTTGTGAATAGGAGCTTCCGAACCTTGTCCATCATAAATATAAATAGCAGTCGAGTCTTGATCAGAAACTGCAACTGCAGCTACAGCATCGCCTGCTTTATATATCCATTCCGCGCACAAAGGTGTATAACCCAGTTTCATCATATTGATCATGTCTGAACAGAATGGAAGAAAGCACAATGTTAGACATTCAATGATAGACATAATAATGGTTCAATTTAATAAAATAAAAACCTACCAAAATTGGGCACGTCAAAAACTTTCATATGATTGTCAAGACTGACAGTGCAGCAATGAATTCCATTGGAACTCGCTGCCAGAGCTTGAATCGCCTTGAGATGCGCTCTGAAGTGTTTGACAAACTCGATGAGTTCGTCTTGTTTTTTCCAAAACTTAACGTGGCCATCGCAGCTGGCAGTGATAATGAAATTTGACTTTGTTACCACTACATGGCTGACGACGTCACGATGCATGTACGATTTTTCATAGACTTCGCAGCTTGGCAGGTTGTCAAGGTAGACTTTTTCATAAGGCAGAACTACATGACACAGATAAGGTAAAAAGACAAAGATTATTCAATGAATTTTGTGAAAAGATCGAGCATACGAAAGACAAAAATTTAAACTAGCTAGCTAACCTTTCTTCTTTTTGACTGGAGCAGCGTCAGCGATCGAGGGACCGATGCACTCCTCCTCTTCGTGATCGGACCCCATATCCTCGGCTTTCCTCTTTTCACTCATTTCGCTCGTTACGAATGAAAAGTCGTGTGTGTGGGTAAAAAACAAAAAAAGCACTTGTCAACGGCGAACTCGAGCGGGAACGGATACAAACAGTAAACACACGCGGGCTGACTGCAGCAACAAGCATATAAAGGCGGAGCGCAGCAGCGGTGCTGCGGTTAGCAGTTTTACTGTTTACTTGACACGCGCTCCGGTGTTTGTCATCGAGCGGCACAGATGGCGCGAATCTCGTCAAAAGCTCCGGAGATAAACGCAGACGTGAAATATATCATCGACTGGCAAGTGGCAATGCCGAATGGAAAGTTGAATGATTTATTTCGATTTATTAATCGTAATTATGGCCTTGAACGATCATACTTAAAATATGAATCAAAATGCAAAATTATATCCTTCTCGTTCATACCAACGCACATCGTATGAATCGTGAATATATTACAATTCCGTCAATTTTTAATTATCGCGATATACCGTATATTAATTTCGCCTTATCGCGCGCGCTCCGTCGCCGCCGCCGCAAGTTCCGCGTAATCTCGGATAGTTGATATCGTAAAAAGCACAACGATCGAGGTGCGTGCGTATACGTGTACAAGCGCCTATGTAATTCGAGAATTATATCGAGTGCGTCAGCGCGTTTAACGAGTTCTCGATTGACTTCGCCCGAGTCCGTGGCATGCAAGCTGTTACTTCTCCACGACGCACAAATTTGATTCAATACACGACGAAGTGCTTTGATCCCGCACGAACGAAACATCGTCGAAATGGTTCGGTAATCGCCGAAATTATACTCCAAAAAATTCAAACATCCCCGAGAGGACAATCAAAGGTCCACGCGGCTGTCAAAAGATGACAGCACCGCCAGCAGCGTCGAGGCCCCGCAGTAAGTGTCGCCGAGCTACATCGGCATCGCTGGCTCACCGGCCGGCTAATGCTGCGCTCGTTTCTCTTGTGTACATTATGCCCGGTCTCTCTCCCACTCGTTGCTAAAATATGCCATACTACATACTATACAAGTTAAGCACGAGCCTCGTCTTCTTCGCTTTCGATTCGCGCTTTGTGTTAGTATATCACGGCACGGCAGCGCCTTTCGCGCCGACGTGAGTAAGCTCCGTGTGTGTGTGTGTGTGTATGTACGGCGCGAAGCGACCCCCGCCCCGCCGCCGGCATCTCCGGGCACTACAACGAAACTGCGGCGTCTCCGCCGCCGCCGCCGTCTCTGCGCGAATTTTAGCAGCGAGGCCGAGGCAAGCAGCAGGTACGCCAAGCGTAGCCGCCGTCTTTCGTGTGTGGTGTGTGGCGGAGTACGGGCACACAATTTTTGTGGCCCCAAAGGAAGCGAGAGACGAGAGGCAGAGAGTAGAAGTAGTTGGGAAGAGTAGTTGGGAGAGGAGAGTTTTTGAGTAGAGAAGAATAATTTTTCCATCCATTCCGAGCCCCAGTTCGATCGTTTCGACAATCTTCGTCGCAACAACCTCTTTTCTGTCTGTGGAATCCGAAAGAGGTAAGTCGCAGGCCAGCATTTTTTTTATCTCGAAATATACTTCGATGTATCGTAGATATAGACTCTCCCGTGCATGATTCTTCTTCCTTTCCTTTGTCGATAAATCGCGCGCGCGCGCGATAAAATAGCAGGAGCAGCGGTGGAAAGAAGGCAGACAACAGCGTCTGTGCTTTTGCGTAAAATGGACGAAAATTAGCGAGTCAAGCACGTGCGATTTTCTTGTAACAATGATGATTGTAACTCGAACGAGGCTCTCGCGCGCGCACACACACACACACACGCCTGGAAGAGCCCCCATGGCGCGCTAAAGCTCTATACCCTGGTCCCGCACCAACGCGGTTACATTATCGCGTCGCGTCGTCGCAAAACCCACGTGTGCTTGTAAATGTCGAGCGGCCTATGTTATTACATTAACGAAACGGCGAGCCTCGTACGATTCAACGACGATACGCGCGGCATCTTGACATCTTTTTTTTACCTTATCGTCTCTCTTTGTCGGCGCAACGGTGAGGACGCACGTCGTCGCTTACGAGAATCACCCGATTACGCACGTACGCATTGATTTATTATTCATCGCGACGAAGGAGACCTCGTCCTCGAGGAAAAAAGTTATATCCCCGAATCCGGTCGCGTACGGCGATTGTTGTACTACCGCGTGGTTGTGTGTTCTAAGCGCCATTTGCAATCGCCTCTCGCGCACATACACACACACACGCACACGCTCTCTTGCCCGCTTTGTGTATCTCGGCGCGTAGAAGCGGCTGTTGCATCTCTCTCGGCCGCCGTCGCAGAGAACATCGTCTCGCCTCGATTCGTTATCACTATCGTTGTATATGCATTAAGGAAAAAATCGACCTCACGATGACTCGAATTTCGGATGATGCGTCGCGGCTTCCTTTTCTCTCTAGTTTTTTTTACTCTTCCTTTTTCTTCGTTGTGCTCCCGCACAATCGCACACACAAACATACATATAAATATAGCGCATATACAGTGTAGTACACACGAACGAGGAATACATGCACGCGAGAGAGTCTGCCATGTTCGTTCGTTCGTCGCGCCGAGTCGTCCCGCGCGCGCGCACACACACACATGCCCAACAGTAGCAGTGCATTATCGCCGAGAGAGAGAAGAAAAAAAAATTGATGATTCGAGCGTAAAACGTAACGCGACGATTCGACGCATTCCCCGTCGAGAAAATCCATCCGCGTCGTCTGAATTTTCGCGAAAAACCATTTCCACGTAGACGACGCCGCACCGTTCGATGTTTTTTTTTGTTTTTTTTGGATGCATAAAATAGTAGCCGGAGCATACGTATATACGCACACACGTATACCTTGTGCGCGCGCGCGCGTCGGTACACTCACACATATACACGCGCGTTATACATCGTGCGCACGCACAGAGAAAGAGAGAGAGAGATAAGCATAGGCGTATGTATGCGGCGGTGGCGTCGGTGTTGGTGGCTGTTCCCGGTACTATGCCTGTAAGGCTACGAGCTCCTCTCGGTGTTGGAGTCGCAGCCACGTTTTAGCGTAGAGAGGCACTTACGTTTATACCGGCACACAGGCAGGACCAATATATTCCCAAGTATCTCCGATCGACGTTAACACTGGTACTTATTACTTGACTCTTTTTTTGACTCTTTTTGACTTCTTTCTCTCTCTTCTCTGCTCTACTTTATTCAATTATTTTATTTTACACGCGAGTTTTCAGTGCCTCTTTATAATATTATTACACATCTCGCTAGTACGTAACAAGTGTTTCTTTTTTTTTTTCTTTATAATAACGATTGAACATCGAAGGCCTTGGCGTGGCTGTGCGAGTTTTTTCTTTGTCTTCTCTCTTACATTCGCGAGTTCTTTTTTTATACCAAAAATACGTTATCGCGTCTCTCTCTCTCTCTCCTTTGCACAGAATGTCACGCGTATGCACGCGAGCGCGAGAAAGATAGATATGGACTTGTCGCGGCCCGAATCGACGGAAGCACGTGCACAAAACATAACCCGGAGAACGAGAGCTCGTGTACATCGCATCTTTTACTCGTGTGCGCGCGCGTGTGTGTGGGCTTCTATACGTGTACTTGCATCGAAACAAAAAGTGTATGAACTTTACGCAGAGGCTCTTCGCTTTAACATCGTTAGGATATTTTTTTTATAATAAATCTTGTAAATGTACGAAGCTCACGCAGCCGGCAAGCGCAGCGCGCGCGCGGGCATTTTATATACGTACGCACACACACACACGCACACATGCGCGTACAACATATTATAAATGGAGAAGATGCGCGTTTGCTGTGCTGGAGCGCGCGCGCGCGCCGGTGCCATTTTATAATGCCCGAGACGAGACACGAGGCTGACTTTTTTTCGTTCTCTCGAGCCCGCGGCCTGTGCATCTCGCTCTCAGTCTCATTCATATACAGTGTGAACGTGGACACATAGACACAGTACTTCTCTCTCTCTCTCTCTCTACGTACGGATACTTTAATATTTTTTATTTTATTTCTCTACACTCTTGTCTTTATTTTTACGAATATATACTCGGTTCGTTATTCCTCTCTGGTCTTTGTTCGTCCTACTCAGCTCCTCGTGCGCGCGTTATACGTTACGTCACGGTCGAAGTAATTCCCATTGAATAATACAGTGCTTCGTTTACCGTAGATTTTGAACCACATGTGTGTGTGTGTGTAGATATTTTTTTATTCTTTTCCTTTGTGCAAAGAGCCAATGTAACATGAACAGATTGTGTGGCACATTGGCGTCCACGCGTTGTAGCTGTATTTTATCACAACATCCTCGAATACTCGAATTCCAATGGTTACGTTGGATGTTTTTTTAGCTCTCTAGTTTATATCTGTGAATTATAACAATTTATACTTGAAAGTTGATGAAAAATAGTCGATTAATTTATGTCTCTTTCTCCTTACAGAAATCTTAAAAAATGAGTTCAAGCGCTTGCTACAAGTGTAATAGGATGGGCCATTTCGCCCGCGAGTGCCCCCAGGGTGGCGGTGGTGGTGGCGGCGGCGGCGGTCGCGGTGGACGCGGTGACCGTGGCGACGGCGGTTTCGGCCGCGGCCGCGAGAAGTGCTTCAAATGCAACCAGTACGGCCACTTCGCTCGCGACTGCAAGGAGGATCAGGACTTATGCTACCGATGCAGTGGTGTCGGCCACATTGCAAAGGACTGTCAGCAGGTAAGGGCCTCGTGCTTCATGCAATACTTGCACGCATTATTTATTTAGCCTCTTTCGTTGTGAACACGTGTGCTCATGATTTTTTTTTGTCTTCGTTCGCCAACAGGGACCCGAGATGTCATGCTACAACTGCAATAAGACCGGCCACATTGCCCGTAGCTGTCCGGAAAATAACGACTCCGGACGTTTCTCCATGCAGAGCTGTTACACTTGTAACAAAACCGGCCACATTGCGCGCAACTGCCCAGAAGGTGGCGGCAAGACCTGCTACATCTGCCACAAACCCGGCCACATCAGCCGAGAGTGCGATCAAGATGACAGAAAGTAGAGAGTATCATCGTCAGTTCTCTCTCTTAAATTACTAACCCCTATCCCTTCTATAAAATTAATTACTAACCCTGAAAAAAAAAAAATGCATTCGGGCATCATAACGACGATAAAAGAAAAATAAAAAAAAAAGATTAAATTGATTTAACTTGTAATCATAATTAGGAATCAACAGCCATTAGATTATTTAAATTACCAAAACAAAAACTCATGTACGTCTGCTAATCTGACAAGCAAGAAATCTTTCTCAATCACGTTGTTGCAGGCATGCATGTTTTGCTTTAATCGGTAAATAGTTCTCAACTCATGTTGCGAATCACTTACCGATACACTAATTTTTATCTTTTGTCACTTCAATTTTTTGTATTTGAAATTAAACGAATTCAAAATTCGAAAAACCGACCCATGCGTGTGAGCATACTTTTTTTTGCAAACCCAAGTGCATAAACTTATTTTTTTCGTTTGCACTTGATACTTTCAACCCTTGCACCTATACTTTAGTTTCAAAATTTCAAATTGTGTGAGTTCGTAATGATAAGAAGTTTGATACAAGGAGTGACTAATTCTAACTAAGCGTGATCACTCTTACGAGTGATCATTTTGTGGAATTGTTTAAGGGCTATTATAGTCATTGGTTCAGACTTAGTCACGTGGACCAGCTTCCTTAGTTCGCTTAAGCAAATGGTTGGAAAATGAATAATGTAATGTAAGCATGTAAAAGCTAAGTGTACAAGCTGTGAAATTATTAAGTCACGATGCTTGTATGCTAAAACTATTAATGATGTAATGACGTAAAGTACGACTTGTAGCGCGAAAAAAATGGAAGAAGTCCATTTCTCTTATTGCTCTCCTTTTACACCAGGTTCTGACCTCTTTTATTTAACGTATGTTTTTTTAACAAGCTAATGTGAATTTTTTTTAATTTAAAGCGAAGGAAATATGTACATCTTTATGAGAGTGTTGCAAGATGTTGTGAAGTATTGTGCTTAAACTTGCGATAATAGTCGCGATAATATAATAACGAGTATGAGTTGTAATGAAAAGCAAAAATAATGCGATGGACGACAGCAGAACATTGGGCTTCTAAAAGCACGCCACTTACGAATCTATGTATAACTTAGTCGTTTAAGTCGTTTATCCATTTAATGAATATGGATTTCGTTTTATTTCTTTTTTTGTTGAAATATAAAAACACTTTTTTACTACAAAATGACAGTCTACGTATTTTGATTTTTGAAATTTTATATAAAATGCTCACATTGGACTTACATGCATTGTGGGCCTAAATTTTTCTTCTCAATTATTATGACATAATGTCCAAGTTGAAGGAGCAAAGTTTTTCATTCGAAAATTGTACATGATGACGACGGAGGATGAGGTGAGACGAGAGGGGTGCGCAATTTCTGTAATCGGTCCTAGAATTCACACAGAATATATTTGTACGCTGATGTTAAACTTAAGCGAGAGCTCATGTATTTATGATTTATACAAGTGATCTATAGGTATATATTAAATATATTATATATGGTATATCGAGGCAGTAACTAAATAAAAAAAGACTGAAGCTACATTTTTTTCATAATTTAAAAAAAAGAAAAAACTAGAGAAGGATCGATGGCAATGCCCAATTGCCTGGAGATAAATTTTCAGTCGGATCTTGTCGCGTCGATTACGTTATCGGATCTAATCCGTAACTAAGGCGAGAGGTGAACTTTTTTATTTCTCATTATATACTTAATTATATGTGTATAAATTCGATTGTTTTAGAGTTAAAAAAAGACACAATCAAGGTAATCGTTAATTATTTCATCACTTGTCATGGTCATCATTTCCTCGTTGACTTAAAAATAATATTATGAAGAAGATGAGGTGAAAGTCGGAAGATGTATACTGATAGTCGTTGCTGGTGACTTGTGCCGATGATGAATGAATGAAGTTAATGACAATTAGTAAAAAAAAAAAGCAGTCCAATATATAAACAATTATTAAGAAAGACCAACTGATCCTCAGCATCTATAGGTTCTGCATCGAATATAATAACACATTGACTGAAACTTGAGATGAAGAAGAGAAAAAAAAAATAAGGAAACGCTTAACTGAGATATTTTGTATTTTTTTACGTATTATACAATGTTACTGAACCTTTTTATATAATTTTAGCACGTGTATAATATGGAAAGCGAGAGAGCAAGAATAATGAATTGAAAATTCAATCTTGCGTAAGTAACTTACAAAAAAAAAAGAATTAAAAACGACGAACAATAATTGATCCGAGGCGCTTGTGAGATAACAAGAATAAAAATAGAAGACTGAATTCAATTGAAAAAAAAGAAAAAAAAAGAAAACTGAGATTATATGATGGAAAAGCAGCGCAATTAACATTAAAAATAAAAATCGAAGGGATAATAGACGCGAGCGAAGCATATATAATAATGTATCATTGCTATTGCTTCGAGATTATTAAATTGTATATTTTTCAGCCGAATGAGAATAAGCAAAGAAAATAATAATAATAAAAAAAAGAGGGAGGAAAAAGTAACCGCGAAGTGATCATTTTTAACCGAGATATAAAACTGACAGGCAGACGTAATTGTAAATAAATAATAATTACTTGTGTATCGTTTTTTGGGATACTGCGTGCACATTTGGCGTATACACGATGTGCGCCAAAAAATTTGTACATGAATAATGATAATTAATTGTCATTTTTGGTGGCTAGTTTGACGCTACGATATTATAGAGACAAAAAAGAGGAAGTATATAACGGACAAGGATGTATCGAAGGATGCGATTAATGGGCACGAGCAAATTTATGATTATTATTATTATTACTGTTTTTTTTTTCAAGTCAGTGATTTTGCCAGCAGCGACGATGCGTACATTTGTATGAATAAAAAAAATATTAATATTATTCGGACGTGTTGCGTGCGGAGTCACGGACACACGTCGGAAGAATGTTGGGATGATCAGGTTTAAACACACAAAATAGCCAACTGATCTCGATGAAACAATTTTTTTTCTTTTTATAATTGCTAAACTATATTATTGTACGAACGATATAATATTGAAAACGATGTGAATTATTATAATGCGAGCTCCAGTATGTGTATTGTACGATTTTGCTTTGAAATACAAAAAAAAATTAATGAAACTTTAATGATTTGCTTTTTAATCACTAATGAATTGCTAGCTTTATAATTCGCGAGTCGATTAAATTTTTTTTTCATGTTCGCGTCTCTTATTTTGTTTGAACAATTCGGAGCAGAGTAGTGGGGTGTTCAGCCCCTTCCCCTAACCTCATGCACATGTCAATCAGCTGGTGTTGGTACACAACGATGTGTTCATAGACGTCACAGCTCAACGTTAGCAAAATTTACAATTAAAGTTGGAAAATGTGACGCTCGTTTGGTTTCATTTCTTTTAAAGTGAAAAAACTTCTATTTCGGATACTTTTAGTAAAAGTTCATTCGATAAAATGCTCCTGAATTTCTGTGATCCTTGTTTGAGAACCGATGTGACCTGCAGCACTGTCAGTTCTGACGGCTATGAAGCAACGAATTTAGTTAACAATTCCAACAAGGGCTTCCTAGCTTACTCGGCTATCAAGCCACCAGTTCATCTTGAATTTGTTTTCATTTGCAATATACAACTCAGTCATGTTGTGATTCATCCACAAGTTGGAGCTCAGAGATCTGTCGGCTTTCAACTGTCCTTGAAGTCTTCTAATTCTAATCAGCAATCATTTCTTGATGTATCGAGTGCTTACATTAAAAAAGATGAAGCTGGAGTGTTTTTCTACAGAAGCGATTTGGGATTTGAGGAAGCCACGGTACCCTCAAACTTTTCTCAGCGCTACATGAAAAGATTACCTGTTTTGAATTATGTAAACGCACTGAGACTCAGTATTGTAAAAACTGACAATTCTGTTCCTGCATTAGGTGAAATACAAATATGGGGTAAAGTTTCACCTAAATGTAGCAAAGATATTTCAATGGGTATTATGTCTCTGTGGATGAATAGAAATGCTAATCAACTACCTACACCTTTACCAAATTATGAATCAGATTCTTCTAAAGTTGTTATTAATCAATCATCAGAACATTCTGAGTCACAAAAGAGGTATGTAATGCAATTTAAATTATAAATATACAAGTAAAACACAACTATTTTCTTTTGCAGTGAACCAATACTTGATGATTCACTGGATATACCAGATGATTTTTTGGATCCAATCACATGTGAAATCATGACACAGCCAGTTGTTTTGCCAAGTGGAAAAATTATTGATCAAAAAACTTTAGAAAAGCACGCACAACATGAAGCCTTACGGGGAAGGGTCCTATCAGATCCTTTTACAGGACTTTGTTTAAATGAAATAAGGAAACCAATAATAGCGTATTCATTAAAAGCTAGAATAGATAAATTTTTATTGGATAATAGTACCAATAAGGAAATAATTAAATTGCCTAGAGTTTTAGGATCAAAGAAAAAACAAGGCCTAGAAGAAATTAAAATGATCAGTCAATCTACCAACAGAAACTATAGTGAAAATACAGTTACTGATGTGAGTAGTATATCAAGAAAAAGAACTTCAGAAGTTGATAACAACAGTGTAAAGCATAGACGGATAGTTGGTGGACATTCGTTACCAGTTGCAACGATTATTAGTAGTTCTAATTTAAGTAGGACACATGCTAAATTTGAGATAAATTCAGTGAAAAAAAATTTGATTCGGTATGAAAGTGATCAAGTAAAAGTTACAGAAAAAATATCAATTCCTTACATTAGTTCAAATATACCAAAGTGCAAGTGCTGTACAGAAACAATATTTTACAAATTACCTTGTAATCATTTTATGTGTAGAAAAACTTTGTTATCCCTTGACAAAAATGTATGTACAATTTGTAAAGTAGAATTTAAATCTAGTGACCCTGAAAGAGTTCACTCTTCATAGTGAGGAGTGAATGTTGATTGATTTCTATTCAACTTGTCTGTGTTCTAACTATTGTATTAGAAAAAATTTTTGTATGTATAATTAATGCAAGCTTATTGGTCTTTTTAATCACAAAATTGACGATCTATTTTTTGTACTTAATATTTTATGATGTTTTTATTTTATACAATAACAAAGAGAAAAATGTTCAATTAACATGAGAGCTTTTTGAAATTATTTTCAAACATTACATTCTTAAACGCCTATTTTTATGACTACTTAGAGAATTTTACAACATAATTATTATTACAAGATCAGGTGGTCATGATGAATATTGTATCACATTCTATAAGTTTAATTTATAGTTGAAACCTAATTTTTTTCAAGCCACTTTTCACATGACTTGATACAGTTTCTATTTTATGTGATTGAACGACTGAAAAAATGCTGAGAAGGGAATGGAGTTTGTTGAACAACAAAATATACTTAGAAATGATTACAATTTTAAGTTTAAGTTTTATAGAAGTTTTTTTTTAAAAATGCCATCCATAAAACTATTCTTTCATTTATTATCATAACCATCACTCTTCAATATAATATTTTCAAGTTAACTTGATCATTTTCCACATATGTAGGTCACAATATAAATGTAAGTTTCATCTTGTTGGTGTCAAAAGATCTTTCATGATGTTGTAAAGTATATCAGCTCAATAAGTGAGCTGTGTGTTCATAATTCATGCATTTGGATTCAGAATTAAGCTTCCTGTTTGGCAGGTGCTTTATCTTTTGCTTCTTTTGATTCTTTAGCTTCTTCGACTTTCTTCTCTTCAACCTTAACGGCTTCAGCAGCCTCAGTTTTGGGTGCAACCTGAAAAATCACAAAAGTGTTATTCATTTCATCTACTTTATATCTTTCATTGTTTATCATGCGCATCAATGTCGAAGCTTTACCTCTTCTTTGCTAGCCTCATCGAAGTTTCCAACGAGGTCAGGTACTTCATCGTCCTCTCCAAGACCACCTTTGAAAGCTGCGCTGTTGGCCACGGTGCTGGCGGCCAACTGTTTCAACTGGGTGAGACCCTCTGGTCCGAGCTGGCTGAGAATGCCTGGGAGCATCTCGGTGATCTGCTTGTTTTCACCATGACCGGTGATGGCGAAAGTGTTTGCCTGCAGACTGGCTTGTGCTTTTGGGTTGTTGAAGTGAATAATGGTACCGTCATCTTTGATCATGTTGACCTCTTCGATGCCAGGAATGGTATTCACTGACAATTTCTTCAGACAGCTCTGAAGTTTTTTGTCATCTGTGGCTGCGGTGGCGTGGACGACCTTAATCAAACAAAATTAATTAAAATCATCATCACCCATGATCTCAATAAAATTAATTTTACTTTTCATCGTCGACTCTTGCGTTTGATAATAAATGATGTTATTAAAGAAGTACATGGCAAAGGAAGCATCCATTCTCCAAAAATAGCTTCTACAGCCGTGGGAGAGAGACGGAGCGACAGAGAGCCGGGCTTCCTAACCCACAAGTCGAACGTCGATAAAAAAAAAACCGCAAAAATTGTCGATTATAACCAACAAGTTCGCGTGCACGCGACACGACAGGCGAACGACACCCGCGCGATCGAGGACTGGCCAAGTGCATCGTTGATAACAATGGAAAGTCGATAATTGATAATTCATTTCGTGAAAAAAATTCGAAGGCATGTGCTCGTGGCCTAGCATGGTATAGCACGATGACGACGACGACGGGGCAGGGAATTCGCGGCCTCGTGGGCGCGCGCTGCGGCACACACGCGAGAGAGACACGATATAAACCATAAAAAAAAAAAAAAGGAAGGAAGAAAAGTAGATTTTTTCTATTGCATTACTATCAATTAGCTCACCTTCTTCTTGCGACGGGGTGTACCCTTGCCACCGATGCGCACTTGGGCTTGAAGCTTCTTCAGTTTTTCGGGATTCATGTTTTTTTTATATATATATTATATTTTTTGTGTGAGCTCGTGCGACTTTAGCAAGAGTTTCCTCCAACTAAAGGCAAAAAAAAATGAAACGAGAGCAGAGCGAGCGAGCACGACTGGCCACAAGCGCCGCGAGAGAGAGGAAGAAGGTGTGCGCGTTAAATTGGTGAAGCGAGCGAACGAATGCGCACCCGCGAGACGAGGAGAAAAGTTGAGCACACGAGTCGTAGACCGTAGTAGGCTATATGCTGTAGTGTGAGAGCGAGAGAGAGAAAGATAGATGGAGAGAGAACAAGAGCGACGCCTCGGGTAGATCTCTGGACTATCGTAGTATACGTATAGGCAAAAAGGCGAGTTTTTAGGAGTTGGAGTAACGCACACCAGCAGAACACGTGCTCGCGCGCGGCCTGTGCTACGAGCGCCAGAGTTTATAACAGCAGTAGGTACTATAGCCTCGGCAGGGGGAGCAGCAGCAACAGCAGCAGCATCGGAGCAGCGAAAATGGCAGTTCAAGAAAAAGAGAGAGAACAAAATAGCGCGTATATTTCGCCGGGCGGTCGGGACTCGGGCGCATGTGCACAACACGACGACGAAGCTCTTCTTCTTTTTTTCTGTCCAGGTCGCGGGCAAAGTTTCCGGTTTATACCCAGCCCCGTTTCGTGTATGGATGGCTGCCAGCTGTGTGTTCGGTCGCGAGCGCGAGATTCGAACGGCGATGAAAAAATACAATGAGTGAACTTTTGATGATGGTTTGAGAGACGAATTTATATACTCGATGGACATTACAATGTTTTTGTTTTTGCTTTGATCACGAAGACAATTACATATTTTTTAATTCGTTTTTTTTTTTAGATTCACTTCCCCCGAGCGGATCTGCGAATGATTAAGATCGAATTATATACTTTCTAAATTCCATGTATTATGATAAATAAATAAACTCACTTTGTCAATTGTTCCTGCTGCTCCCTCTCCTTGATCCTCTCGAGACTGGTGATGAGTTTGGGATCGTCGCAGAGATTGAAGGGCGGCTCGAGCAGCCAGGCCGAGCCGTTCTTCGCCCGGGCGAGCAGATGATCGATCGCCTTGCCGAGTCTGCGGCTGTCTTTGCTCCTTTTTTTTTTTTTTTTTTTTGGTTATTATTAAGATTCGATAGAAAATATGCGAGAAAAAAATGAGGACGAGAATCTTACGGATCAGGCGGACAGGGTGTGTAGCCGCATCGGCCGGGATCGTGGGCGCGAGCCAACTCGTCCGTGGGGACGTCGGGCAGGCCGATGCTCGTGGAGGGTCGTATCGACGGGCACAGGGCGACCAAGCGCAGACACTCGTTCTCCGCCGGCAGCTCGTTCTGTATATCCAAAAAATTATCCCGAAATCATAAAATCCATCGTTTTATTTATTTATTTATTGTTTTTTTTTTCTACCGCTAAATTGATGGTCGTCTCTACGACCGGATCCGAGTAGCAGTAGATCGGCTGCGGATTCTTCGGCCAATCGACCAGGCCCAGTATCGAGGCGCAATTGATCACGATGCCGCGGACCTTGTGCGCCAGCAGCAGCTCGATCGCCACCCGCGTCAGGCGCTGCACGCTCGTCTACGTGAAAAAAAAACAAAAGTTAGGACAATTTTTCGACAAAAAGGAACATCGGAATGGAATTCGATACTCGCGAGCTTCTTCTCGTCCCGGCAGAACTTGGCCTCGCTTTTGGGCAGTCGCGAGATCGCGTCCAGGTCGTTGAATATTATGCTCGGCTGGTGCTTGGAGCACAGCGCCGATCGGTATATACCTTCCGAGTTTGTACAATATGTTTTTTATGCAGAAAAAAAGTTTAATTTTTTTTTTTTTTCATTTCGCTTACCCTCCACGTGGCAGGTGTTGCGCACGTCGCAGGGATAGAACTGGGCGCGATCGTCGCCGAAGCTCATGCAGAGCTTCTCCGCGGCGAAGCTGCCCGCCGAGGCGTCCGAATCGGCCAGCAGGACTCTCTGGATGAAAAAAAATAAATAAATAAAGTAAAATGAAATATATCCTCGTCGTCGTCTAACCTCGGCACCGTTGGCGAGCAGCTGTCTCGCGGCGTAAAAGCCGAAGCCGTTGGCCGAGCCGCCGACGACGATGGCGAGCTTGCAGCCGAGCCCGCCGATCGGTTTCGGCAGGCCGTCCAGGCAGTTCTTCGGCACGATGATCTTCGGCCCCTGGCCGGGCTTGCGACAGCACGAGGCCGACTTTCGACGCTTCTTCAGCGAGCTCGTGCTGGATTTTTTTTTAAATTTTTTTTATTGTATTGCGCACGTCGCGCGAGAGTAACGAGAAAATTCAATATACAAAAAAAGTAACCTGAAATAGTTACGAGCCGACAGGATGACGCTGTTCAAGTTGGTCAAATGGTTGTACGTGTGCTCGAGTATGACTCTTCGGAATTTCATAGTGAGCTTACGGAGAATTTAACTTGACTTCTAACGCGAAAATTTTGAGATGTTTTTTGTCAACAAACGATGTATTTGGTGGTTAGGCGAGTGACATTATTTACTTTTTGATGGGGAGGAACAGAATGAATAAAAAAAAAGAAAATCGAAATCCTCGAATTTTATAGACAAAAAGCAAAAATGTATCTTTATTCAAAGGCTTAGCAGAGTATTCAAGTTTTACATTCACAATAATAAATACGCGAGCGCAGCACAACGTATAGTTTTAAAAATGATCAACGCATACTTATTCCATTCGATAGAGTAATTCGACAAAAATTAACAATCCTTAAATCGATAAATATAAAAAACAACAATTCCGAAGCGAACACACCCCTGATCGGGTTCGAACGTCGACAATTTTTTTTTCTACTAATTCAAGATTGCGCACGCAATACAAATTTTCCCTCTAATTAATTAAAATTCGTAAGCTACCGTAACATTCAATACATTGTATTATATATTTTTTAGCGATGATGCTTAAAAGCGATTATTCGAATCTATACTTAAGAACGTTGTTTTTCTTTCATTCAAAGCTGTGTTTTCGAATTATACAATTCATAAACGCGCGTAACTGCATAAAAGTATATAAAAAAATATCGCATGCTCGACACATGTCTACAATTCGTATGGTATAGCGTTCGGCAGTTTTCATCGATACAAAAATCATTCGAACATAGTACTTATTTCGTAAATCAATTTATACAGTAATAACGCAACATCGCTTTTTCGTTATGATTGTGCGATCGAAACAATAACGATTATTATTTGGTCGCGGTGATTTTTTCACAGATATTGGATAATCAATGAAAAGATTTTCTTTAAATGTTATAACAATATGTTAAAAATGTATATGAAAATTTCCGACTTTATGATCTACTGATATAGTAAGAGATCCAAAATGGCAGAAGATCATTTCTTACCCTAATTTTCGTAAATTCCAATTGGTGTCAATTTGTAAAAATTATCAATTCATCGCTGACAGAGTCAAGTTGAGAATTCGAAAAACGCGAATACATCGTAATGTAATTTATATAAAAAATTCGACAAGCCAGCCATTGTTTTTATCTCGGACACATTCTTACAGACTACAGTACATAATAATAGCTAGAAGTTTTAGTTTTATAAGATTTCATCGATTCGTCGTGCTTTTTACGGTACGGCACAGCTGTTTTTTGCAAATTTGGAAATTCTACGCGACTCCGAAGCCGATTCGCTTTTACTTTTATCATGCTATTATTTTATTTATTTTTCGTTCGTTTTAATTGGACGACATTTATTTCGTTAAATATAAATTATTGGTGCGTTTTGGAAAATTTTTGGCTTATGATTTGCTGAAAGTTATCTCTTTGGCTGGTTGTCCGTTTTCCACGAGCCAGACGCTTCCGCTTTTGGCATTAGCCAGGATGTTGATCAGTGCTTTGGCAACGTGTTCACCTCTGGAAAAAATAAGATCAGGCGTGAATATCGAGCTAACGCATATTTTGTTTTTTGAATATTTTAATTTACAAAACAAATGTTTACTGAACTTCTAGCATTGAATAGCATTATTTTATGATTTTTCATTTTTTATGTAAAATAGAATTTGTGATTTTTTTACAATAATTAACAAGGTCAAAAATAATGACGTACTCTAACATCAAATGTCAACTTAAGTATAATTTTCTCCGAAATTGGCAATTCTTTCTATTCTTAAATATTTTAAATAAAATATATAATATATAGAAAAAATATTATTTATCATTTCACAAATTGATAATGTAAATTTTCAGTAGTATGAAACGACTTGATGTCGTTCTGTTATTATTGGTCCGCTCGGAATTCCATATCAATATTTGTAAATATTTAGAAATAAAATCCAAGTTAGTTGGTTTGACAGTATTACAGAAACATCATTCGACAACGAAGCTTCAAGATGGAATCGAGTAATTTCTCGAAGGTGCCAGTAGCTTGTACAATCAGGTAATTTTCATTTTATCATCATGAACTTACGAAAATATTACAAAAGAATAATTTATCCTTGTAAATCTATGTTCAGAGTCAAAAAAGAACCTCGTGATGAGTCGTTTGATGAGAATTATGGCGAAACAATTGACCAAACGCACGACGTTAAAAATGTTCGATTCTGCAGAGAATACTCGGTAAGAAATGGCGATCTTACACGGAGACAACATTTTTTCATAACTTACTATCTTATTACAGACGCTTCAAGAAAGTAAAGAAAATTACAAAAATGAACTCGACAAAATGCGAATCGAATTCGAATGTGTAGACGTTAAGCTCGATTTATCGGCAGTTGCGAAAATTGAAGATTACTCTCCACGTCAATGGCAGGATATGAAGTACAGCGACGATTACAAAACTGAAAGTACAGTCAAATTAGAAACAGTTGGGATAGTGAAGAAAGAATTTTCAGGCGAAGAGGCAACGAAATTTAATCTTGATCGTGGACTCAGCGAGCAGGATGGAAAAAGAAGCGCTACAAAACAGTTGAGCTTTGAAGGTAGACTCAAAATACGCGACGACTCGGCGCATAATGGCACGGCAGCTGCACGCGAAAAGACGTCTGAACGAAAGAAAAATCCCAAGGTCCACAGTGACTCGGTCCACGGTGGTATCACTCACGCATGTCGTACGTGTGGAAAGACATTTACACGAAAAATTTACCTCAAAAATCATATTGAAGGGTTGCACAATGGTATCGGTTATGCATATGGTATATGCGGAAAAAAGGTCGTAAATAAGGGTAATTTAAAAAAACACATCGAATCGATGCATAATGGTGTCAGTCACGAATGTAATATTTGCAGAAATGTTTTTAAACAAAGACATGATCTGAATAGACATATCGAGTTGGTTCATAATGGCATTTCACATGCGTGTGATATTTGCGAAAAGACATTCACACGGAAGGGTCATCTCAAAATCCATATCGATTCGGTGCATTATAAAATCAAGCATGCATGTGGTATATGCCAAAAGATATACTCAGAAAAGAGTACTATGAAAAAACATATCGATTCGGTGCATAATGGCATTTCACATCCATGTGATATATGCCCAAAGACATTCTCAGACAAGAGTAATCTTAAAAAACACATCGATTCGATGCATTATGGGGTCAAACATGCGTGTGGTATATGCCAAAAGACATTCCCACACAAAGTTAGTATCAAAAAACACATCGATTCGGTGCATAATGGAGTTTTACATGCATGTGATGTTTGTGGAAAGACATTCACTCAAAAAGGTAATCTCAAAACTCACATCAAGTCGGTACATCATAAAATCACGCATCCATGCGATAAATGCCAAAAGACATTTTCAGACAAGCGTACTCTCAAGAATCACATCGATGCGGTGCATAATGGTGTCAGACACGAATGCGATTTTTGCGGAAATAAATTCATAACGAAAAGTTATCTTAAAGTTCACATCGAGTCGGTGCATAATGGTGTCAGACACGAATGCGAGATTTGTAGCAAGAAATTTACAAGCAAGAAAAATATAACAAGGCACAAGGATGAAATGCACAATGGTACCACCCATGTATGTGAGACATGCGGTAAGATATTCGGACGAAAAAGGAGTCTCGAAGCCCACACCGTTATGGCACATCCCTCGCCCATTGCGAACTGATAACTTTAGAAAATTCATGTGTCAATTGTGACTCGACGATGTAGTGCGTTTAGTTTCACTGACGATTGATTTACAATTTTTTTTGTTAATTACGATAATTCAAATTCTTCCTATATTTTGTATCATATCAATGTGTAAAAACGTCAACATTTTTTGTATTATAAAATTGATTGCAATCCGAAATCACATTGTGAAATTCGCTGCTAATCATAGCTCGCTCTTTAAACTTTATAATTTTGACTCCTAGCTAATACATGCTTCGAAATTCAATAAAATAATCGTTGCTTTACAACGACTATCTCCGATATTGTAACATAATTCGTTCAAACATTTTTTTACTTCGTTCATAACTCAACTATAATATCTACGTCCACATCACTTTGATTGAATGCTACCGAATATATTTTATCCTGTATCCGAATACGGCCTCCTTTCTTGACCATATTTAAAAAAATATTTTCCCAAATAAGACTGTCTCAAAAATTGTCTGTGCTCCGATATGTACTTTTATTCAAAATGTACGTCTCTCCGTAGAAATATTTTTAATTGCGTAAGTTACGTGTATGACAAAAAAAGGAATCTTTTCTCTGCGTATATACTCACGTCTGCGAATTCGCATTGGCCGTATCCCTCCGCCAGGCGTCCTCGTAACGTGGCGACAGCAGCTGCTTGCCGACGTCGGCACGCACGAGATTGCTCTTGGTCGCGCCCGGACAGATCGTGATCATTCTCACGCCCGTCAGACCCACGTGATACTGATCCTGCACAGACGCACACAAAGAGATGAAAAAAGACGATTGTTCGGTACTGATTTTAAATCTCATTATACCCCAATGAAAATATTTTATAAATTCTTAGGCAAGATTTTAAAAAGATCTTGATAAAATTTTAAGACATCTGGTAGCAAGTTCTTATATGAGATCTTGATAAAACTGGAAGACTTCAAGTAACAAATTCTTAGGAGAGTTTTTGATTTCATTACTAGACTTGAAATAACAAGTTCTTATATAATTTGAATTTCATGATTGTGATGAAGTTTTACTATTTTTACAAGATCTTATTCAAGAACTTGCTACCAGATGTCTTACAAGTTTATCAAGATCTTTTTAAAATCTTGCCTAAGAACTTATAAAATATTTTCATTGGGGTATAGCTCTCACCCCAAAAGCTCTGGTGAAGCTCACGATGGCGGCCTTGGTGGCCGAGTAGATGGGCACGCTGACGTACGGATTGAAGCCGACGTTGCTGCCGGTGTTGACGACGACGCCGCCCCGGCCGCCCTTGTCGATGCCCATGTAGCGCTGCGCCAGCAGAGTGCCGCGTATGACTCCGTTCTACCGGATATGGAATTCGGATACGAAATTATTATTCCCCGCTTATACGTTGGTCGCGATTATATATACGGTCGACGAAAAATTTGTGATTACCAGATTGATGTCGACCTCGAGCTCCCACAGTCTGTCGTTCATGATCCCGGCGTTATTGATGACGATGTCGATGTGGCCGAAGTGAGCTATTGTCGTCTTGAAAGCGTCTGCGTGGCGAAAAAAAAAGGCACAATCTCACACATAGAACACAAATTGACGCAATGATACAACTTCTGCCACTTACCCTCGAACTGTGGATAATCGGTAACGTCGCAGGGGCAGAAGAGCACGCGGTCCTTGCCGTGGCGCGACGCGAGGCTGCGAAACACCTTCTCGCCCTCCTCCGTGTTTATGTCGCATATCGACACCTGTCAAACAACACGGGGGCAAAGGGAATAGTAGCGGTGAGTACAATGGCAAGACAATACGCGCAGTTCGACGTTCAATCGTTCGTTATGTTTATGCATCTTTTATTTATTACCTTGGCGCCTTGATTCACGAGCTCCTCGGCGTAGCACCTGCCGATACCGCCAGCACCGGCCGTGACGAGTACGACGCGTCCTTTCACGTCCATTGTGTATGTATGTATGTGTGTGTGGGTGCGCGTAAGTCGTTGCCCTCCCGTGCGATGAGTTTGCCGCTCCTGCAGCTATGTATGTACTATGTGTATCGAACTGTCAACCCTTGCGATGAGTCACTCGCATATATTGGCCCACAAAAAAATTTTAATACAATCGCGATCGAATCCTCGTGAAGATACAATTTGACCTATAGCTGAAAAACAAGTTTTGCACACACTCAACGGATTACATCGTATACAAGTCGAAGTAAACACGAGACGTATTACACACGCTGCAAAAACAAGGCCAGTGTATACAAATACGTGACTTTGTTTGATATTACGATGCACTGCACAGACAAAAAACAAAAACGCACCAAGCTCTCGGTGTTCTTCACGTCGAGTGAGGCCTCAGCTGCACTCTTTACACACTCCACTGTTATACTGATGATAATACGAGCGCGCGCGCGCATGCGAGGGTGTGTTGCGCCGATCCGCTGCTGCCGCTGCAGCCTCCGCGCGAAGATTCGGGGTAGTAGTGGGATCAAAAGAGTTTCTGCTAATGCGCGAGAGTTACGAAGGTACTACTCTCGAGATACACTGCACCCGCACACACACACTCGTGGACAAAGGTTTGTGCACTTTCGTTTTGCGATACGAGTATATATATATATGTAGTAAAGCTCGCAGAGGTGTGGTTGCAGGCTGTGCGCCGGGCGGCGCGGATGAGGGAAACGGAGTCGACCAGGATTGATATTACTATATATATAGGATGTATGTCGTAGTACGCGCCGCTGGAAAATATCGATTTTGATACGATTACGTTGTATCCTATATATGTAACGGGTTCGACGAGCTAAGCGCGCGCGAGGGTGAATTCAAATTCAATTCGAACATCAACGAGTTCTCCTTTTTTTTTTAACTTTCTGAACTTTTAAATTTGTACCGCAATTGTTCAAGTGGTTCGTGTTGATACGAGTACGCGAAATCATCGTGTAATTTGCACAAAAATAATTAAAACCTTATCACGAGAAGCTTCTATATGCCTCGAAGTAGATAAGAGAAAAAACATCGTTTAATTGGATGTAAAATAACGTACGAAAAATAAAACGTTGAATTCGTTTTTATAATATGTGTAAACAATCGTACGACCGGCTTGCACTCGAGTGTACACAATCGTTCGAGGGATCTAAAAATAGCATCCACAGCCTGACGATCGACATTTTACTCGTGCATTATTTTATTATTTTGCATACTCGGTCGAATTAAAATTTTTTTATACGCATACAATTTGCAACTCTCGCGCGTCATGTCGTGTTATGCCCGATCGAGAAATAAACAAGTCCATTACGCAATCGTTCGCCTGCTCCGTCGTGTCCGTGTGTGTGTATGTGGTACTGCTGCATATGTAGATACAAAATAACATGGAGGTTAGATTCGGCTGGCCTAGTGCATGTGTACGCATTATAAACGTGTGCGTGTGAACTGTGAATGCAGCCAGCCAGCAGCAGAGCTGCGGCGATATTTACACGAGCCGGATAAGACACAGCAGTATACACACATGCCACCTCGCTCGCGCGATGTCATCAGTGCCATCATCGTCGACGGTATCTTCGGCTTGACAAAATAATTGATAATTCGAAGGTGGGGGCCCTGCGGAATCTCGAAGCGGTGTTCTCATCTGCATTTTGCATTTTGCGCTGGTCGTGTGTGCGTGTTGTTTTTTTTTTTTTTAAGCAGCACAACCTTTCGCCTCCGTGTTCGAGACCATGGCTTTTTCAATAAGCAGAGTCGGCAAATTGTTTCTGCTCAAGGCCGGCGTCGACTCGAACGCTGTCAAATTCAATCGATTTTCAAGGGTGAGCTTTTATTTTTTTGATGCACCGAACCTGTTGGTTTGAACTTTTTTTTTGTAAATTTGTTTGATTCACTGAACCTTTTGGTTTGAACTGTTTTATTGCAAATTTTTTCTACTAATAACGAGTGCGTTTGTGTTTGTGTCTCAGATACTTGCTGTTCAATTTTCAACCGATGGAGCAGAGTCAGACAAGGAAGCACCAAAAGTTGCTTCATCACCGACAGGCAATGGCAAGGTATTTAATTCTGCAGAAGAAGCAGTTTGTGACATACCGAATGGAGCGAAACTCTTGGTTGGAGGTTTTGGCCTCTGCGGTATTCCAGAGAATCTCATAGAAGCGCTCTTGAAAAAAGGTTCAAAGAATCTGGTGGTTGTGTCGAACAACGCTGGAGTCGATGACTTTGGACTTGGTAAACTGCTCAAAGAGAAAAGGGTCAAAAGAATCATTGCCTCTTACGTTGGAGAAAATGCAGAGTTCGAAAGACAGTATCTTGCTGGGGAGCTAGAAGTAGAACTGACACCGCAAGGAACTCTGGCAGAGCGCGTGAGAGCTGGTGGTGCTGGAATTCCTGCCTTTTATACACCTACAGGTATCTTTTTTTTACAGTAAAATGTAATGTTTTATAAAAAGATATTCTATCAAAATATCTCACAGACATAATGAAAATTCATTTAAAAAAATATCTATTACTTTTTTTCAGCTTATGGAACAATTATTCATGAAGGCAATGTTGTTATTAAGTACCATAAAGATGGTAAAGATGAGATGACAGGTGATGCAAGAGATGCTGAAAATTTTGATGGAAAAGATTATGTACTAGAACATGCCATTACTGGAGATTTTTCATTGATTAAGGCCTGGAAAGCAGATACTGCTGGAAACTTGATTTTCCGTAAGTCTGCCAGAAATTTCAATCCAGTTATGTGTAAAGCTGGAAAAATTTCCATTGCGGAAGTTGAAGAAATAGTGCCTGCAGGTCAAATTGACCCAGATCATGTTCATGTACCAGGTATCTATGTAGATAGAATTATCAAGGGAGCATCTTATGAAAAAAGAATTGAGGTAAATTTTTATAAATTGAGGTAGTCATTACAATGAAATATTAACAGTGAAAAGTACTTAACAAAAAATTCTATCTTAGAAAAGAACAACTCAAAAATCAGTGAAACCATCTACTCGAGTTACACCGGCTGCTAAAGCAAGATTGAGAATAGTTAAAAGAGCAGCTCTTGAATTTAAAAATGGAATGTATGGTAAGTTGTGTCATTCATTCTGTTGAAAAAAAAAAGATTTTTTTTATTATATCTCATGAAAAATATTTTTTATAGCTAATCTGGGTATTGGTATGCCAATGTTGGCCAGCAACTACATCCCTAAAAATGTAAAAGTAACTTTGCAATCAGAAAATGGTATCCTTGGGCTTGGCCCCTTCCCTGCAGAAGATCAAGTTGATCCAGATTTGATTAATGCTGGAAAAGAAACTGTAACTGTTTTGCCTGGAGCATCTTACTTTGGCAGTGATGAAAGTTTTGCCATGATCAGAGGGTAAATTTTTAAAAAAATAGTGTAATGAATGATTAAAAATTAATGACTACATTATATTTCTAGTGGACACGTTGACTTAACAATATTAGGGGCTATGCAAGTATCTCAATTTGGTGATTTGGCTAATTGGATGATTCCTGGAACGATGGTCAAAGGAATGGGAGGTGCCATGGATTTAGTTTCTGCTGCTAATACCCGAGTTATTGTCACAATGGAGCATGTAGCAAGAGATGGCAGCCCTAAAATTTTGTCTGAATGCAATTTACCTCTCACAGGTATTTATTAGATTTCTGTCGAGATCTCAATTTAAAAAATGAATAATGGATAGGAAAAATTTATTTAAAACTTTTTTTACAGGTCAACAATGTGTGGACTTGATCATTACCGACTTGGGTGTATTCGAAGTTAAAAAAGGCGAAGGATTAAAACTTATCGAAATCGCGCCTAATGTAGATATAAGTGAAATTGTAAGTTCGACTGGTTGCGAATTTTCTGTTGCTGATGATTTGAAAGAAATGGGTCAAGTGTCGGACGAGTAAAGCACACTTCTGTTTTTTAATGTTAGATATTTACGTAAATTATATTTTGGCATGTTAATAAATGCACATCCACTGAGCCTGTATGTAAATAATGATGTATACTAGAATTAGACTCATAAAACTGTCGAAATTCGACTTTTTTACATGTACATATGTCAAGCACATGTGTAGTTTATAAATAAATAAAAATATATATTATATTTAAATTTCTGGATTTTTTATTTTGCGTATGCTGTCTCAAGTGGGTATCTAGAATTTTTTTAAGTGTACTTTGTAAAGTTTGGCATTTAATGCTTACTTTATTTTAACATATCTTTAAGTTAATAATATAATGGTTGATTTTCATATAATTTATTTCTTTGTATTCATTTTGAGCAGCATACTTACTGCTGAAAAAGACTCATAGGTAGTTTATAAATAATAAATAAATGAAAATACATGATGAATTAAAGTTTCACAATTAATTGTTTTTAAGTTTTATTATAAAATTAATAAATTGCTCCACAAGCTTCGTCTATATTCGTATAAATGTCAATCAATATAGTTAATGGCACAAAAAAATATTCGTTTATTATTTCAAATTTCAGCTAGTAGCTGCTGGGTAAATACCTCGCAGTCAGCTCGTGTCGCTTTTTCTAAACTTTTATCATAACGTTATTAAATGGACACTTGGTCTGCGCCCATCAACTTACAAAGGTCGTTTGTAGTCATGTTTTGGTCAAATGTTTTATCAAAATGTTCCTCGGCCCACCGCCGACAACGTTTATAGGGCTTTTTCACAGTCGTAAGTGACGGTCAAAAATCGACCAGCTGATTTGCCTGGAAGCAAAACAAAGCGACCGTCCGTATACGTTACATGTTAAAGTTGATTGGTAAAAGTACTTGTAATTAGTTTCCTGTGCAGTAAAAAAATAAACAAAAATATCTGGAGAAAGCGGAAATCCTTGTGTATCGAAATATCGAAGCGGTTTTTAGTTAAAGTCTACAGTTTGTAAATGAAAAAATATTGAAATTACGGCTTTTTTGTCTGTGATATTGTCAATAAACTCTAATAAAATACCCGACTGGAAACACAATTCCGGCGCAGTTTTGGGCCGGATTAGATGCCTGATTTAATAATCCGGTTCGGATCAGGCTCCAGACTTGGCCCTGATGAGGAATGTAATAAGGTTTAATACCGGACCGGATTAGTATTTACTAAAATCAGGCCCTGTTGCGGGCTTTATCAGGGCCTGCAAAAACTCCTGAAGTTTATTCCCTCACGTGTAAGCACGCATATATCTGGGCCTGTTAAGGCCCTGAAGTTGCCTGATTTAGAATTATTATTTTTAGATATAATTACGATCAAGGGAAGAAAAA